CGAATAGAAAGATAAGAGAATAGCGTAAACATATATAGACTAAATACTAATATAAAATACTAAATCTCTTATTACTTCGAGTCTCTATTAATATATTCCTAGCCTCAGATATATCTAATAAGTTATCGATATTATTCTTCTAGACGATAGCGATCTTATCTAAAGTAGGACGATTATAGATATATAAATTATAATATCGTAAATTCTTATAGAGTAGCTTATAGTTCTATATATTTAAATTAGCTTTTAGTCTTTTAAATATCGATTTAAGAATATTAATATAGAGATTAATACTTTTAAGAATTATAGTTATTTTACGATAAAGCGTTTAATTAATATAATTATAATAACTATGTCTAGTAAAGTTAGTACGAGAAACGCGATTGAAAGAAAGTTATATCGTATTATAAACTAATCTTAGATATTATTTATAATATAGATTTAGCTAAAGATCGATTTTTCGTTCTCTAGAGGCGCTAAGGCAGATATATAAGTAGTAATCGCTCTCTAGATTTTATATATATAGGAGACGATTAAATAATTAATAATAATCTACTATAAGATTATCGAGGCTATATTATTATATTAAACGCTATAGCGATGAAATTCTTTATAATTATTAATAAAATTTAAGATCTCTAGCGTTAAAGAATAAAGGATTTAATTAATAATATACTCGCTAAGATTAATCGAATTATTTATACTTATTTCGATACCCTCATAGCCCTATTCTATATTATTTACTTCTTAATCGATATCTATTTTAGATATATTGACTTTAGTCTTTTCGCTATTATAGTATTACTTAACTATCTTATCTTTTTATAATATCGCGTTATAGCTATTATAAATCTAGTTTATAAGATCTAAATTATATTATATAGACTCTATAATATATAAATAACGCGCGATATAGCTAACGAGTCTTATTAAAGATTAAGTAGAAGCTAAATAAAGGCTAAAAGATAGACTAAAAGAATATAGACTAGAAGAACGTAGGCTGTCGAAAGAGTTATTATTAAAGAAGTCTACTAATAAATCTCATAATAGAGGGTCTTCTATATCGTTTTCCTCTTATTTAAAAGCTTCTTCTTAATAATATTCAGAATCTAATACGCGTTAAGAGACTTTAAAATAGAATAATAAAGAACGGATTAAGAAGAAAAACGCGTTTTAAAAGATAGTATCGCTAAATTAAAAGGTATTATCGCTGACTTAAAAGAAGTATATAGAAGAAAATATATTTATTCGAGCTCTTTTAAAGGGCCTTTTAACGCGTTTATAAATAGTAATAGATAGTTATTAAACTCGCTTACGGCCTCGATTATCAATAATAGCGAATTCGCCTAGAGGTGATCTAAAGACGTTAGTAGGGGGTTTAAAAGACGGGCGAAAGGGATATGTACCTTAGATACTTAACAATATTTAGACGAGAGATATCGAGAGCGAATTTATTTATAATTAATAGATTAGTAGAATTATAGAAGAAGAATAATTACATAAATAGATGAAAAGATTATTATCTAATCTCGAACGCGTCTGATATAACTATTATAACTATTATATTTAAATATCCATTTAATCCATCAATAGTAAATTAAACTTTATTATTTTTACAGCGTTAGAAAGCGTAAAGCGAGCTCTATAATTTGAGAAATTATAAAGTAACTATATATATCGTAGACTAAGTACTTCAAAGTATAAAACTTCTATATATAAATTTTTAATAAGGAAGCTCGAAAGAGCTAGCGGGCTAACTTAGTTAATCTAGTTAAAAGGCGTAATAACCTTAAATTAATAATTAACTATATATATAAATTCAAGATTTTCTAATTTAGCTCTATCTTATTCTTTTATATATACTAATAATAACTAAGATATTTCTATAGCTATAATAGTCTAAATAGCTAAAATAACTAAGATATCTTTATAGTTATAATAGTCTCGATAGTGAAAGTAACTAAGATATCTCTATAACTGCGATAGTCTAAATAGTTAAAATAATTAAGACATCTTCATAGTTACGATAGCCTCGATAACGAGAGTAATTAAGATATTTCTAAGGCTGCGATAGTCTAAATAATTAGAATAGTTAAGATATCTTTATAGCTGCGATAGTCTAAATAGCTAAAATAGCTAAAATATTCCTATAGCTGCGGTAGTTTAAATAGCTGAAATAACTAAGATATCCCTATAACTGCGATAGCTTAAATAGCTGAAATCGTTAAGATCTCTCTATAATTACGATAGCTCGATTAATTAAAGTAACTAAGATATCTCTATAGCTACGATAGCTTAAATAGCTTAAATTATTAAGAGATCTCTATAACTGCGATAGCCTAAATAGCTAAAATTACTAAGATATCTCTATAACTGCGATAGCTTAAATAACTAAAATAGCTAAAATATCTTTATAGCTACGGTAGTCTAAATAGCTAGAATAATTAAAATATCTCTATAGCTGCGATAGCCTAAATAGCTAAAATAATTAAGATATCTTTATAGTTACGATAATCTAAATAGTTAAAATAATTAAGATATCTTTATAATTATAATAATTCGATTAGCTAAAATAGCTAGAATATCTTTATAATTATAATAACTCGAATAGCTAATATAATTAAAATATTTTTATAACTATAATAATTAAAGTAGCTAGATATAACTACGATAATTTAAATAGTTAAAATAACTAAGATAGTCTAAATAGCTAAAATTATTAAGATATTTCTAAAATTGCGATAGCTTAAATAGTTAAAATAGTTAAGATATCTCTAAGACTATAATAGTTTAAATAGCTAAAATAACTAAAATAATCTAAATAGCTAAAATAGTTAAGATATTTCTAAGATTATAATAATCTAAATAGCTAATTAATTATAATATATATATAACTATAATAGTCTAAATAGCTAAAATAGCTATATAGCTATAATAGCTTAAATAGCTAAAATAGCTAAAATAGCTATAATAGCTTAAATAGCTAAAATAGTTATATAGCTATAATAGCTTAAATAGCTTAAATAGCTAAAATAGTTATATAGCTATAATAGCTTAAATAGCTATATAACTATAATAGCTTAAATAGCTAAAATAGCTATAATAGCTTAAATAGCTAAAATAGTTATATAATTATAATAGTTTAAATAGCTAATATAGCTATAATAGTCTAAATAGCTAAAATATTTATATAGCTATAATAGTCTATATAGCTATAATAGCTAATATAGCTAAAATAGCTATTAGTATATATAAAAGAATAAGATAGAGCTGAGCTTGAAAACCTTGAATTTATATATGTAGCCAATCATCAATTCGGGTTCGCTACGCTCTTTGGTTAGACCGGCTAAGTCATCGCGGGTAAATAAATTAGCGCCCGCAACCATCAAAATCTCGCCCTCCCACGCCTCCCTCATCAAATCCCTCATCAAAAAAATAGGTATATATTATTGACACATAGAATTACTTTTTTGTTTTCTATTAAAATTTTGAGATTGTTTTTTTAAATTTTGAAACGCTATTTGTGCTTTCCGAATTTTTAAGAATTCTAAAATTTAGTCTTATAATTATTAAAGCGCAAGGAATTCAAATATCGCTCACCAAAGATCGCTCACCAAAGATCGCTCACCAAAGATCGCTCACCAAAGATCGCTCACCTACTTACTCGATAGCCCCAATTAAAAAAATGATTATGAATTTAATTCATAGGCCTTTACTCGTATAACTATAATAACTTATATAATTATAATAGTTAATATAGCTAAAATAGTTATATAGCTATAATAGCTTAAATAGCTAAAATAGCTAAAATAGTTATATAGCTATAATAGTTTAAATAGCTTAAATAGTTAAAATAGCTAAAATAGTTATATAGCTATAATAGCTTAAATAGCTTAAATAGCTAAAATAGTTAAATAGCTACGATAGTCGAAATAGTTAAAATAGCTAAAATAGCTAAAATAGCTGAAATAGCTGAAATAGCTATAATAATTAAAAATATTCACATGGCTATAATAGCTTAAATAGCTGAAATAGTTATATAACTATAGTAGTTTAATTAATTAAAATATTTATATAACTATAATAGTATAAATAGCTAAAATAGCTATATAGCTATAATAGCTTAAATAGCTAAAATAGCTATAATAGTTTAAATAGCTAAAATAGCTAAAATAGCTATAATGATTAAAAATATCTATATAGCTATAATAGTCTAAATAGTTAAAATAATTAAAATTTTAATATAGCTACGATAGCTAAAATAAATAATTATAAATAAAATAATTAAAGTATATATCTAAATAATAGTAATATAATCGTATAGCTATATAACTACGAATAGCTAAAATAGCTTTAATAGTCGATATAACTTTAATAGATAAATAATTATATAATATCTATATAACTATAATAGTCTTAAATAGCTAATATATTAGATAATTCTATATAGCTAGAAATAGTCAAATAGTCTCATAGCCGCATAGCTGTAATAGGGCTGAAATAGGGTTGAAATAAGGCTGAAATATCCATATAACTGCAATGGCCTTAATAGCTGGAATGGCTGAATAGCTTCATAGCCGCATAATTAAAATAGTCGAAATATCCTTTCGCAATGATTGATAAAAAGAATAATGATATAGCTCTAAAAGAGAACAATTCGAATGAAGAGCCCACTATAGGTGCAGTGGCCATACAAATAGTACTCGCCATGTCCACCTGTCTCCCGCATATCGCATATCGCATATCGCATAATAATGGGACGGCTGATCAAACAGCCACCAACGCTATGGCCTCATAATGGACCCACTAACCCACAGTCCCACTGTTGCGAGTAGTGGTTTGGCTTCCACCATGGCTAGGGCTACTTGATCCATAGAGTTGTCGTATCCACGATATTCATGGTCAAGACAACGGCTAGTGCCGATTCAACTTGATGAAGTCCTCGTTACTGCAAACCCATACACATATAGGAGAGCAAGTCTCTGGATTTATTCTTGACAATGGGAAATGCGTTGCTATTGTTCGTGATCAAAAATAGCGGGCGTTCTAAATCGACCAAAGCTGGTGTAGATCTATTGAACAGACATCAAAACGAGGAGCATCTTCATACAGTTGCAGAATGGCTGTCAACTTCAGACTATCCTTCACAGCAGACCGATCTCTTCAACCAATGTCAGGAAGGGGCTGGGCAATGGCTTTTTCATTTGAAAGAATTTCAAGCATGGCTTGACGGGACCGAGTCAACGCTTTTCTGTCCCGACATTCCCGGAGCTGGGAAAACGATGATAACATCCATCATGATAAACAACCTTCAGCAACGTTTCCAGGGCGACAAGAAGGTTGGCATTGCTTATGTCTATTGCAATTACAAACGACAGACGGAGCAGACCATCCACCATTTTATGGCAAGCCTGCTCAAAAAACCAGTTCAGCAACAGCCCAACCTGCCTGAATCAGTCAGCACTCTCTACTCCTGACATATGGAGAGACGGACAAGTCCATCGTCCATGGTCTCGCTAGAGCATTTATTGTGATGGACGCTCTTGACGAATGCACTGACACGAACAAACCAAGATCGATTTTATTGGAGGAAATCGCGAACCTCCAAGTTCAACTAAATACACATTTCTTTGCAATATCGCGCTTCATACCCGATATAACAGCCAAATTCAGAGACGTGGCAACCTTAGAGATACGGGCAACAGATGCAGATGTGCAAGCATATCTTGAGAATAAGATTTCAGAGACGCCAGTTCGTGTATCACGCAATCGAGCGCTGCAAGAAAAAACCAGGGCAGAAGAAGGAAAACCAGCTGCTGGGATGTAAGACTTATCCATTGCTCTAATCTACTATACACCAAGTTGATTGGTATAGGTTCCTTCTTGCAAAACTTCACCTAGCAGGCTTTCCGACAAGGTTACAGCGAAGGATGTCAAAATCGCGTTGCGGGATGTGCTTAAGGGATCAGGAGCATTGGAAATCACATACACACAAGCTTTAGAGAGGATCAAGGGCCAAAAACCAGGCTTTCGGCGGCTCGCTGAAGCAGTCTTATCATGGACTGTTTGCGCCCAAAGACAACTGACCATCTAGAAAATCAGTACGCTAGTATCGTTCTTGTCCTAAGAAGTCTTTCGGCGTATAGGTTTGCGTATGATACGTCATTCTTTGTCAGATCAGAATCTAGCAAGTTTTAGTCCTCTGACCCTAATTGTAACACCAATCCGTCATGGTGATTTACCAGTGGCTTCACTGGGTTTGGAACCTGTCTGGCGGTTCATGCACCTAGTGCTGCAACTAGCGGAGATGGAGTGGGCTAAGGTACCTTAGATCCTATTCCTACAAGGCTGCAGAGTTGCCATACAGACGAAGATGACATTTCGAGAGTGGAACAGACAACGCTCCAACGTCTTAGTCGTACCGCATTTCATTTCGCAGTGCAGGTCCATCGCATTACATCGTCACCATGTCTAACGCTTGTGAAACATTGAGCCCACGTCCGGCAGCAGTGACGGGCCCGACAACAACGATAAGTGCAGACAATTATCTTGGTCTTGAGAGTTCAAACCGATCGAGCAGAGACAAGTCCGTTGATCTGGAGAGTGGCAATGCCCCGGAGCCAAGCACACAGAGAAACGAGATGAGTATTGTCTCGGAAGCAGGTTGGTATACTACTAGACATATGAGACACCCTGATTACAATACTGTCCAATTGTAGCTAGTAAGGATGAGACATTTCGGTCCAAAATTACGAAATATTGGTTCGCTCTATTATGCCATGTAGATCGAATAGCAAGGCTGAGGCTTTCGAAAGAAGCTTGCTTATTGCAATACAACCTTCGAGACGCAGCAAATCGTCCAGAGATCTATGAAGTAACAGGCTCAACACCACTCAGTCTGATAGCTCGCAGAAAGGATGATCCTGCCCTGGGAAAATGCCTATTCGATTTACTACTGCGCTGAACAAATGGCTTGACTCAAAGCCTCACATAATAGTCAGAGCGAAGCCCTCGTTTCCCTGGCAGGGTCAGCGTTGAATGTGAGACACGGCGTTAGTAAGCAATATGAAGACGACGACGCTGCAACAGATGAAGATTCTCATTTTCCCTCCCACACTTGCCCCAAGCCCACCTATCTCATCCCCGCCTGCTGCTGCACCTGCATCTTCGCCGCCTCCATCTCCTGCTCAGTCGGCAAATTGACAATCATCAGATACAGCACATTCTGCTTCATCAGCTTCCTCTTCTGCTTCCACGCCTTCCTCTCTTGTTTCCTACTCGGTGCAACGCCCGCCTGGATCCTCTCCTCGCGTCTCCTCGCTCGCCGCTCAGCCTTCGGTGGGATCTTGCCGCCGGAGATCAGCGTGAGCCACGAGCCCCTGAAAGCGGGATGGTTGGGATCGCTGACGCGGGTCCCGAAGTCGGGCTTGGGCAGGTCGAGGCGTTGGTCGGGGTTCTTGTGCAACTGGTGTCCGGCTTGTTAGTAGGAAGAGAAGGAGAGGATTGGGGAGGGAAAGGACATACGTAGGACGCCTGTGCCCGCTTGTCGTAGTAGTCTGTCACGAAGGCCATGCTGCTCTTCAGTTTGCTCGCCTTTGCCGGGTCTTGCGTCTGCGCGGCTTCGTCCAGGGCAGGGAATACCAGTGGTGCAGAGTCTGGCATCTCGATCGCTCCGTACGACCGGCCCGCGTTTACTGCTCTGAAGTTCTGATACGATTTGTGGGGCGCATTTTCTTTGCTGATGATCGTGTTCAGGTCCGCTTGCTGCACGGATATTGGTCTTGTCCCCTGGGGGATGTACTTCATAACCATGGCGTACAGACCCCTGGGCTTGAACAATTTGTCGTTCATCTCGTCAAGGAAGCTGTGGGTGCGCTGTGTAGTCTGCATGTAAATGGCTGCCCCAGCGGCGAATTGAATGATGATACTTGTAATCTGGCTGATTGGCTCTGGGACGAGGCCTACAACGCCTGCGGAGACGAAGACGACGTTTAGCAGTGGCGATGCTTGTGACGCTGCGTGGAAGTTTTCGATGAAGGATAGGAAAGCTTCTTCGGAAATGCCTTTTTCGGCGAGGTCGGGCGAGTAAGCGTGGATGAAGCCGCGGTCTCGAGCGCCGGGTCTTCGCTGCGGAATGATAACGGGTCGTTGCAGCGGATTTGTCGGGTGGTTCAGAGGCGGGCATTTCGCCATCACCACCGCGCTGAACGATTCGATCGTCGGCTGTGCCATCATTCCGTACTTGAGCTTGGGATCTTCGGCTCCGGGCGTCGCGACTTCTTCGGCTGCTTCGTCAAGAGCCCAATTCGCTTCGTCGCCCTCGCTGTCGCTGTCGCTGTCATCTTCGTGGGCCTCTCTTTCCTGACTTGGACCGTGTTTCTCGTCCAAGGGCAACGCTTTCCCATCTGCGATGAGCTCGTCCGCCCGCTCTTCGGGTACTTCGACAATTTGTTCGTAGGCTGGCGGTGGTTCTTCAAAGTCTTCGTGTGCCTCACGCGCTTTTGAAGATTTCTTCTCGCTCTTGTTGCTTGAAGAGGAAGGTCCTATATCCCTGGAGCTCGAGGCAGAGGCTTGGGGGGACAGATTAGCTCCAGGGGAGTTTGAGCGCGATCTCTGTTTCTTCGAAGCGATGGCTTCGGCTGCAAGGCCAACACCAGAGCCAATGAGTCGTACAAGGACACCCATGCTGATGTAAAAGATGGAGGAATGAAGAAGAATAGGAGCAAAAGTCCGTTGTACCGCCGTTGTAAAGTCGTGGGGCTCTTACTCAGCTACGGACGGTTCCCCACCAGCAGTCCCCTGTCGTACTAATCTTACCCTAGCGGGACTGCCCGTTGGGGTTCTTTCGCAGCTGTACTTTAGGTTAAGAGAGTATGAATATCTGATAACAAAAAATGAACTTGTAAAACTCGAGTCGGAATCTTAAATACCGCTTTGATTTGGAAAGAACGTCAATTCTCATTGAAACTCCTCTTTTGGAAAGATGGAGCTATCTCCAGGTCAAGATTCCTGGCTGACCATGGAGCTCGAGTGTTCTTTATAAAGGTACCATTCATCTACAGCCGCGGTAATCCCGAGTGGAGCTTTTGGGAACGTCCTCGAATGGCATATCGGGCGTCATCTCCGTCAACGGTTCTTCAATCACAACCAAATTGAGTTGAGGAGATCTGGTGGTCGGCAGTAGGTTGCTGTCGGGACCACGATCGTCGTTATGAGCTGGGGAGTTCTATCTCTGTAGGGTGGTCTTTTTTTTGTTCTGTCTTCTGATGATCGAGAGAGTCCTCTGCTTCAACCTCTTGTGCACAGAGTGATCGACATTTGTCAGCAGCTCATCATATGTTGAACTTCTTACTTTCGTTATCTAGGCTTTATCACTGCAGAATAGCAGAATTGAGCTTTGAACAGATACGCCAGATACATTAGAGGCTTGGCCAGATAGATGGTCCTTCTTCACTATCCTTGAGTGAGCCCGCAATCTCTATTCGTTCCATGCAATTTGAAATCGAATGAGTTTATCTGTCGCATTACATAACAAGAGGACCGCAAATTGCGAAGAGGCAGTTCATCCTAGGTGTCAAAAATCATTCCATACGGCTCTATAATCAACACAGGCGATTACAAGAGGAGGGTTGTTGATAATCAAATTCGATTTATCTTTTTAAACAGTATTCTTGCCTTAAAAGACATGATTAGGAAAAGGATTAACTGCAACAGTGCTGTTTGTATCTTCGAACCAAGCGTGTACGTATCGCTCAAGTGTGATGAAACTACTCCCTCTGCCCCCTTGCACTACCACGTCGCCCAAGAATCTACATGCGAGTCAGTTGGTTTCGAAGCGGGTACATAATTTGATAAAGATGCGTCACCTCATGCACCTCGATGCCGGCTGCTCGCGCGATGTCCCTCAGATCTAAGCTTCGACCCCAGATACGTGCGGCCATGTAAATGTTGACGGCGGCGACGCAGCGTGTAGAGAAGGCTTGGCCGTCGGGGAATTCCGTGAAGCGGCTGGCCATTGATGTTGCCAACCTTAGGATCTGCGTAGGGACATGGCCCTGCGGGGAAGCCTGCGGGGGAAAATCGAGGTTGTGGAAAATGTCCGCCACGAAGAGGGCTGGGGATTCGTTTCCCTGAGACTCGCTCAAGGGCACTCCTGGTCCGTCGTCCCTTCTGGTGATAGCCGGTAGGGATGCAGCACCGAAGAATACTGCCCGGCAGACGGGGCAATTTTTGCCTGTTTGAAGCCAGGTGACGACGCATAATGAGCCTATGCTGTGGTTGCAGGGTAGGCGGATTTGACACTCGATCGTTCCGGTCGATGTATTTAGTGTATCGTACTCTTCAAGACAGATACTGCATTGTTCGCCTTGTTCCGATTGTACGCGGTTCTCGGGATTGTTGAGTAGCTGGTTGAGAAAAGATTGCGACATGTTGTGGTAAAGACTTGTGAATTGGGGCTGATTGTGGGTATGGAAAGATGTTGAAGGCTGGATGCTTTTGCGTATGGAAAGATGATGAAGGCTGGATGCTTTTATAGGTTGAGAACATATCAGCATAAAGCGCCGAGGATTGCACAAAGACAGCCTCTGGGTGGCGACAATTACATTGCGCCTCTTGTGTCCTGTCTTTGTAGATTCCTTTGTATTGAGTCTGCGCTGAGAAGGGAAAGTAACAATGACTTGTTTGGGAAGTATCTAATTCTCCAAGCCTTTTGAATTGGACAAAGACAGTTCGTGATTGACTTCGGTCGGCAGACAACCGAGAGCCTGGGGAAGCTGACGTCGGCAAACGCTCAGCGCCTTGTTGCCAGGTTGGGGAGATGAGGAGAAAGAATCATGCCGCATACTCGGGAGGTGGGTCTCACGAAGCATACTCACGCCCACAACCAACAAACGGTGTAGGCTGGCCCACGCCTTTCAATGTCCTTGTCGAAAACAACGACAACAACATGTTCGCCAAAGAGCCTGCAGACCGCCGTGATGCGGAAGTGTCATTCATCCGTACGTTATACAAAAATGATTTGCAATGCGTCGTTGGTAAGCGTCCACCTCATGATGTCAGTCTTTGCTGGGAAAGAGCGAAGTAGAAGATAATGTCAAGTTCTACTGCATTGGGTCTGTCTGCGTGTGGTACGGTTCCGGGTCTGGCATGGTAGCGACGATGAAGGAACCATTGAAGTGGTGCTTGACTCTCAGCGTGGTCTATCTACGTATGCGATTTTTGACTTCCGATACTGCGGTGAGTTCGTTCTACAGCTGCAGACTCGAGTAATGTGGACAACTCAGTCTGGTAGGTCGTAGAGACGGTAGTCCTGCATGCCACACTTCGAATTGTAGATCATGCACTAAGCCCTTAGTGGATCTATGCCCAGTTCATGTTCAAATGGCGCTGTACACTGATCTCACCGTCAGCTGGCGTGGTTGATGGCAGCATCTCAATATCTTCTTGGCCACGCATCTCTCTCTTCCCTGCAATGACGGTTGCATGAGATTGACCCACACCCAAGATGCCGTGTGTCTTATCTGACAGTATCATAAGCTTGTGGTGACTGCTCATCTCGCTGTGTGGTTCGCCATGGCTCTGAGTACTCGCTGGAGGGTGATTTGGGTTTGTACTCCGACCGGGAACATAGCCTTTCGAGCGCAGTACCATCAGATTGGGATTATTGTAGATGATCTGGGGGAGTATTAGTCGGAGGGATGGTGAACAAGCTGCCGCGTGAGTTAGCTAGCTTTTTTGTTGATTGTGAACGATTTTGGATCAGATTACCAGAAACGATTGCAATATCGCATTCTATTATTGATCAAGTACCGGCATAAGCGAAGCCGTACTCCAGATCTGGGGAATTGTGGTCAGTCCGCACAAGACACTAGAGAGAGTTCGGTAAGAAAGGACGTTGCCGTAGTGCTCGCAAACAGTGAGGCCATACAGAAATGACGCATGCACAAGTAGATATGTAGATATATGATTGGGCCTATCCAACACTGGGGCAGCTAAGACCTTTCTGGACATGCAAATAGCCCAGAAAGGCCCCCCAGCGCTAGAAAAACTCCCATGTTTAAGCGACATGACTTGGAGTGAAAATGAAGCTATATATAGGTGTGGGTGGGAGGGAAAACAATAATACGGCTCTCAAAGAGAACAATTCGAATGAAGAGCCCACTACTGGTGCAGTGGCCATACAAATAGTACTCGCCATGGCCACCTGTCTCCCTACTATCGCATATCGCATACAGAGGTCTGCACCGAAAGTCCTGCACCCGCCAAGACTCTTACGCTCAGACTTCGGATAACGCCCCACCTAAAGGGCTACCTGGACAATACGTCTAAAGTTCTTCGGAATCGCACCTAGCCCTAGCCAGGTTTCGAGATTTAATGCCTCTATCAAGCCAAAAGAAGTACCTAAAGTCCTATCCATGCGCTGTAAGAAGATATTTCTAGGCTTCCCCTCTATAGGGCCGCTTTCCGAAAGTAGGGTTAGGGCTGCACTAATGCGGGTGCAGGACTTTCGGTGCAGACCTCTGTAATGATGGAACGGTTGATCCAACAACCACCAACGCTATGGCCTCATAATGGACCCACTAACCCACAGTCCCACTGTTGCGCGTAGATACACTATCACATACAAATCACCAAGCATAGACATACCAGTAACCATTCCCTTTTGCGACCTTGTACTATGCATCCGCCAAATATAGGGAGTCGGCATCGAGAGAAGTTCAGCATCCGTTAGTAAGTTAGGTATCGCTGCGCCGACGAAAAAAGGGATGTCATGTATACCGCATTTCGTGGGAAGCTTATGGTTCGAGAACCCTGAGACTGGACTGCATTGCGCGGTACTAACGGGAATCCTATGATCTCTAGGTCAGCGGAACCGTACTGAGAAAAATAAGGCGATTTACAGTGGCAGTTCCCCAACAAGTGGTGATGCCCGCCAAAAAATAACACGGAACGCGTATAAATGCTACGAAAGCTTCACGTAGAATGTCAAAACAGGCGCTTTGACTAGGCAGATTATTAAAGTGTAGAGTATCCCCTGTGAGAATTTTTTTTTCATAGAAGTTGGTTGCGTATTCCTCTCCGAGAACTTCGAAGTGTTGCCCAAAACTTTGACACATTTCCGTCGCATTCTTCTGTCAACGCTCTTGGATCTGAACACCAGAAGACGATGTGGCAGGCAGGATTCACAGCCAATTTTTTCGACGACAAGGCAAGTAGCTATCAACTGTCTAGGGTGTAAGAGTTTGGAGATTAGGTGACCCTACGTGATCTTGGGATCTTACGAATGCCGCAGCTGCGATCCAAGCATCCCACCAGAGTTTCCCGCTCATCAAACTTCTTGCCCAGAATCGCAGAGCCCTAGCTATTACAGCTAGGCAGTAGATGTTAATCCCGGGTGCGTAAAGCTGAGGTTGCCTGCGCGCATGAATATCAACGGCTGGGGGGTATGGAAATAGCAGATGACATGGCGAAAAAGAACGCGGATTGAATGACTAGCGGAAGAGTAATTGAGCTAGGGAACAGAAGCCTTAAAATGATCCAGAACAATCGAAATCTGGAGGTGCCTCATTGGGCTGATTCATTATGCAGTCAACGTTACTCATGGATAAAGCTCATTATTGGGGGTGCGGGAACATCTTGCAGGCTTGCAGCAAATCCAATTCTCACTAACATGCGAGTCATGCAAGCAAAACTTTGTCATCAGCCACTCGATGTCCTCCTGCATATGATACCCTCCATTCCATACAGGCTAAGTCGCTATGATGTCAGAATACGCTACTATGGCAAGGCAAGTTTCATAGTTGTAGACATGACCGAGCAAGCTGGTACTCTTTTCCCTGTTTCTCCCGGGGTTTGGAATTTTAGTGAGTTCCGCGAAAATAATGAGAACAGAAGGAGCGCGTGAATGGGGTGTGTGATTGAAATGACCCGTAACCCAGTGGACTGCACATCAGAATGGTGCGCATGGTCAGACTGGCTTGCCGTACGCCTTAGAGGCATGTTGCACCAGAATGATGCGTAATCCGGCAGGTCGTATCGAGACGATACAACGTCTAATGTCAGAGGGATGGTATGATTTCAGGAAGACGATGCGATCCCAGGAAAATTGTGTGGTATCAGGAACGTCTTGTGGTGTCATGATAACCTGTCGACTGTTTATCGTCTTTGGATGTCTCGGTTTCCTACTGTATATGATACCGCTCTCCAAAGAGCTGAGAGTAACGGAATTCATCTACCCTGAATACTTCAACAAAGCCTGGAGCTGTGTAACGGTCCGTAGTCCGTCCGCGGTCTTGACTAGTCCAGACTAACGTCTGCTATATGGGCGAAGCGGGTAGAGGGGCCACGATTACACAGTCCGTAACCATTGGGCGCCCTGACTCTCTCTTCGTTGCGAGTCGTCGATTCGTCTTGTGAGTGTATAACTTCATCAGAATAGCTCAGTCACCTACTTTCCAGATGATCGAGATAGAATTGTAATTGCTGTTGGCAAAAGGGTTCTCAGAATGCCTCTGAGACGAGATTGGTCAATCGTACCTTATGAATCCAACTAAGACTGATGCGGAGCCTGCTCCCAGCTGTAAACCTCTGCGCCGTATGCTTCGTCTTTCCTGCTCATGGGGAATGTGACTCATGCTAATGCTCCGAATTTCGTCCGATTGACCTTACAGTCCTTGAGCTTTCCGCTTCTTATGATTGATACAATACATCGCCAGGACGATCTTCTATCCCACTTAGATACGTTACACAAACGGGAACGATAGCGAACTCGAGCCCGATCTTCGTCCTCGTCTCCGGTGCTGGACACCTTTCCACTGCTTACTAAATTTCCCTCAGCTACTAGCGGCGCCATTGAGCCGCGCAATGCCTCCCTCTTTCCCTAACACGGGACCGAGCAATCAATCTGTTTCTTCTACAACCGGTGACCAGTTTCAGCTTCTAAAAACATCTCGCTTGGAGAATAGAAGTGAGTTACACATACCGCATCAGTGTCCCCATATTCGCGTCCACACACTGGACCATCCTTTGGCTCCCATCCTCCATCCGTGCAACTCACCACCCCCGTCGTGGTATTACTGGTCCAGCTCAAATCTCCCTGGGTGAACTGGATATAATCGCCTTCATGCTCTCCTGTTATCATGATAGCCAGCCCTAGCCGAGGTTGGAATGAATAGGTGTCTCCGACGTTGATAGGCATGCCGAAAGGATAGGTGTAGTTGATCACCGTCTCGCCAATGGTGTCCCCGTTGCCGTTTGCCATACTCACATTTGCAAACAAGTCGGAGCTTTCGGCTCCACAAAATTCATACTCGTCGACGTGAATCTTGCAGGTGCTGGTAGCAGAGACTTGCGTGGCTGTGGCTGTGCTCGAGGGAGCTTCTGGCGGGGACATTCCCCTAAACTCGGTCCACAGGCTCGAGTCAGGTGTGGCGTTGGGGATGTCCGGGTTGCTTGGAGCCACGAAAGATGCAGGAAGTACGGTGGTAAAGTTGACAGGTGGGTAGAGATCGGCCTCCGTGGTGGACGAGGAGGATATGAAACCGGACTGTGCTTGATATACCTTGCGAGGAACGGGCGGAAAGACAGATCTAAACCATTCTTGGATATATATCGCTGAATGCCATAACAGTCAGGGTGGCTCTCATGCATGGGTGTAAACGCAGCTCGTGGGAGGACAATAATCATGCGGGATCATCGGAATAGAAGGTGTGCAAGTCCGGGAATCACACGCTAACGAAAAGTTTGTGAACCTATCAAGGCAGGACGTGATTCAAGGAACATAATCACTCACATAGGGCGGCACAGCCATAGGAGTCAGCTATGGAGGCTATTTTCAGCAATTCAGTCATTCGCAGTCATCCGACACATTGACTTACGAGTGACATAAGACCAGTAGGCCCCCTTCAACTTGGCCTGTTCCCAAATGGATTGAGGGCCGTTTGCATAATCCCTAGTATTTGGTCGAACCACTGTGGAGTCGAAGTGGTAGGTTTCGTGATACAAGATCGTTGCTCGATTCTGATAGAAGTTCTCCAAGATGTTCTTCTCAGCTGATGGGTTAGGCATTTTGGATACACTCCTGATTGTGTCCATGAGCGTGGGTTGGGCAAAGTAGAGTTCGCACAAGGTTATGTAGTGATTCGTCCAGAATGTTCCGACTTGGCTATGTGTATAGCCGGCAGTCAGTGGATAGTTAGTGCAATAATCTTGGTACCAGTCATAACAATAGAAGTACAAGTACGTGCTACGAGGTGCTTTCTCGGTGTCGAGAGCGTGGCGTCTTGCAATGTTGTCGCCAATGATTTGCCTGAAGTTCAAGTCCCAGGGAAAGAAGCCGCCTGTGCTGGCTACATTATTCCCAAAGTAATTGATCATCGCCGTGGAAAAAGCGCCGCCGGGAACCTATCTCTGTTGAGCTTGATCCAGGAGGCTTGCGTCGTACCATGCTGCTTCTATGGCATATTGTTGTTGGGTTGAACAACGACTGTCCAGAAATTTCTTAGACAGTGCCGTGTTAGCGGACGGCTCGCCGTCGATAGTCAGGTTCTGGGGAGGGGCATCCGTATACGTTGGCGAAGGTTGAAGTATGGTTTCTGACGCGGGTGTCCAGGTAGGGTTGAGTGGGCTTGCGTAAGTATCAGATGTGGATGCGGAATACCCAGCATTTTCGGCGACGAGATCTTGAAGAGATTTATATATATAAAATACTTTATTAAAATTAATATTTATAATATATATTATAGAATATAAATACGAAAGAAAGAGAAGTGAAAAATTATCTTTCGAACTCGCTACGACTAGTTTAAGTATTAAATAATATCTTTTAATCTTATAAATACTCTTATAATCTTTTAAGCTTATATAAATAAAGTATTTAAGTTATATATCGATATCTTTTATATAATATATTTAGATAATATATTAATCTATTTAAAAATAAAAGAGTTATATTAAAAGTATATATATAAAGTACTATACGTATTATTAAAATATCGCCTCTATATAAAGTTATTAAAATATATTTTTAATCGTAATAAGATTATCTTTTTAAAGTTTTTAATAAATTAGCGTAATATTTAAATAGAGCTATTATATATTAAGACTATTACTAAATAATTAGAATTAAAATCTATTAAGAATATTTTAATCTTTCTAAAATTTATAGACTTTTATTAATGATTTATATAAGACTTTTCGTAAATAGCTATATCTTTAATAAATCTAATTTAAAAAGCGAAAAAAAGTAAGATTAAATTACTCTTTATATTTAATAAAAAAGTATATAAGACTTTTAAAATACTTAAGCGAGTATTTATTATTATATTTATACTAGAATACTATAATTAGAAAATATTATTTATTATAAAGATTAATATTTTTAATATAGATATAGATAATATACTTAGCTAACTAAGCGAGAATAAATAATAATATTCTATTATATTTTCTAGCTATAAATTTAAAAACGCTAAATCTTATTAAAATATATATAATAAAAAGCTCTATATAATTATATTAGATTTTAAAAATTAAAGATATTACTTATAAAATAGTAAATATCTTATTTATATAATCTTAGATTATAATAATTTATATTATTTTATAATAATAAAAGAGTTTAATATAAAGTAGATTCGCTAGATTAAGAAATTAGCTATATTTAACTTTATAATTAAATATTATAAAGAAAAATTTAATTTTATAAATATATTATTAAGAAGATTTAATATTATTAAATTAAATAATAGCGAGAATAATAATAATAATTTTCTCTCTATCTTACAAAATAAGCTTTATAATTAAAAATATTAATTTAATCTATAAAAATATAATAGTATATTTATTATAATTAAACTTATAGCGTTAATAAAATAATTAGATAATATTATTATTATAGATATTTAAGTTATTAATTTAAATAAGAGAGTATTTAATAGATAAATATATATTTTAGATATTACGATATTATCTTAACTTCTAATTTATTAGATTTTAGAATTAAAGAGATTCTATTTAAAATTATAAGAATTAATAATAATATAGCTATTTAAATAATAACGTAAAAATACTTTTATTATAAATAAAAAGTAATATTAAAAATACGCTATTAAATAGAATAAGCTTTCGAAATAAAAAGTCGATAAAAATAGATTACTACGTTATAATCTTATAGTCTATATATCTAATAACTCTATTATAAAGAAAGAGATTTTTTATATAAATTATAATAACTCTAATATTAGATATTTTATTTATAAGTATATTAAAGAGAATATTAAATCTAAATATTATTAGATAGAAATAATAAGCGATATAATAGAGTATATTCGCATTTATCTTAATTATTAAAAAGTATAAATTTATTATTATAAGTCGTATAATAAGCTAACGTTAATCTCGCTAGATAATATAAATTTATTTTATATTATAATAATAGATTTTATTATAAATTTATTATCTATAAGAGATTTATATATTAATAAAACTTATAATATTATCTTAATCTTAGTAGATAAGCTAATTAAATATATAATATATATTATAATTATAAAGAATTTAAAGATTAATAATCTTATTAATATTTTATAATAAGAGTTTATATTATTATATAATATAATATATAACTTAATTTTAGATTAAAGCTCTCTATTTATAAGTAAATTCTAGATAATATTATATTAATATTTAAATATAAAGTGTAGACTTAGTATTATATTTTATTTTTAGACTAATAATTAGATTAAGAGATAAAATTAAATTCTTAAATATTACTTATAAATATATTATAATTATAAATAAGATAATTAATCTAAGATCTTATTAATAACTATATTTATATATAATAATAATATATATATAAGTATTAATAAGATCTTATAAGAGTTATTAATAAGATATATAGTAGATTTAGAAAATACTTCTAAAAGTAAAATCTTAAGAGAGAAAGTATCGCTTATTATAAAGCGAGTAGAATAATTATAAAAAATAAGATTATATCTAAAAGAATTATAAGAGCGAGCGTTAAAGTAATAAGTAAAGTATTATAATAGTAATTATAAGGCTATAATCTTTAAAAAAGAGAATAAAGTACTATTATAAAGTTTAAATATATATATCTTACGATTAAAGAAGAAACTTAATTATAGATAACTTAGATCTTTTAAAGTATTAGAGAAAATAGATATATAGATTTATAAGCTAGATCTCTCTACTAGATATAAAAGAATTTATTTTATATTTTATATATCGCTATTAGAATTATAATACTCGCGTAATAATAATTTAAAGTTATAAGTAATTTTAATTAATAAAGAAAAAGAGTAGAAGATTAATAAGATATTAGATAAAAGAGTTTATAAAGATAAGACTAAATATCTTATTAATTAAAAAGACTTCTTATCTTATAAAGCTTTATAAAAATTAATAAAGTATCTTAAAAATATTAAAGGCGTAATTAAGAACTTTAAGTAAATAAAGAAGTTATATAAATTAATATCTAAGATAAAGTTAAAGATATAATTATTAAAAGAAATTAAAAAGTAAGATAAATTAAAAAAGTAATAATAGTAGAGAAACTCTATAGAGTAAATAAGTTATAATTAAAAGGCCTAGCGAAAATAGCTAAGATATTTATAAATATATTCTAAAGCGTTAAAGTATTATATATTATAAGAAAAGTAATTATTAAAGCTATATATATAATTATTACTATTTAATATTAATCTATCTATTCTCTTATATTAGAAAGTAACTTTTTATTTAGAAGATTTATTAAATAGTAAAAAGATTTAATATAAGAGATAGTGAAAGAAATAATCGAAGAGAAAGCGAAGATAATAATATTATATTAAAGTTTCTCGATATAATAAATTACTATATATATTAGCTATATATTTTAATATATACTAATTAAAATTTATATTATTTTATACTCGAAAAATAATATAAATATCTTCGCTAAAGTAAGTTATAGCGAAGATAATAGTCTAATAATAAAAAGATATCGAGTTTACTTTATATATATAACTCTTATAAAAGTATTACTTATATTTACGCTAGTATAAGTTAATAGAAAATATAATATAAATTATATAAGAATTATATATAAGAGTATATATATAATAAAAGTAAAAGAGATCTTAATATATATTAGCGTAATCTCTTAATTATCTAATATTTCTTTTATTTATAAATAAAGATAGAAATAATAATAAAAGAAGCTATTAAGTCTTTTTAGCTAAATATATCTTTAAAATAGATATAAATATTTACTAATTATAGCGGAGAATATAGAAATAATAATAATTATAAATACTTAATAACTTATAAGATTATAAGAGCGAAGATTTAATACTACTATTAATATATTAATATACTTTTTATACTATCTAAAAAGTATTATAAAGTATTCTTTAAGATATTTATTATATATAAAGTTAATCTAAATAACTTTAATCTTACTTAACTATTATCTTAATTAATATATATATTATACTATTATAATAATATATAACTCGCTATCGCGATATTATAATAAAAACGAATAAAAATAAAATAATAGATATAAAGAAAAACTAGATATTTACTTATAATAGTATCGATATTAATATTATTATTAAAAAGAATAAAAGTTAAATTAGAAATAAGACTTTTATATTTATTAACGCGATTTTTATAATTATAATAATAAAATTATTACGATTATTAAAGTAATAATAATAATAATAGCGTATAATAATAGCGATAATAGTATATCGTAATAGAGTAATAATACGCTTATATTCTATTAATTAAGATAATAATATATATAGCGATACTATCGCGATTTAATATATAAATATATTAATAAATTTAAAAAGACCTTAAGATAAAAAGTTTAAATACGCTATTATAATATACGTTAATTTAGATTATATTTAAACTAATAATAAATAACGTATAAGAGATAAATAAATTTATAAATATTTAATTATAAGATATAATAATAATAAGATTTAAGAGTTAAATCTTTTAAAGGGAGATATAATTATAAAGATAGAAGTACTCGAAGCGAATTAATAAACTCGCTTATATTATTTATTAGACTATAAGCTATATAGCTAAGACGAATATTTAATATACTTAATAAAGTCTTAAATACTTACGAGTTTTCTTTTCCCTTCTTCTTTCTTAAAAAATTAATTTATCTAATAACTAATCTATCTATTCTATTAACTACGTATCTAGACTTCGTAATTATATAGCTGCTACGCAGTTCTATTAAAAGAGACCTTACTACCTCATAATTTCTTTACTTTATATAAATAGTATATATAATATATAGCTTATTAAATATTATAATTATAGTTATTTTAGACTTTATAATTAATACGAGTAAAGGCCTATGAATTAAATTCATAATCATTTTTTTGATTAGGGCTATCGAGTAAATAGGTGAGCGATCTTTGATAAGCGATATTTGAATTCCTTACGCTTTAATAATTATAAGACTAAATTTAAGAATTCTTTTTTTATCTGAAAGCCCACATTTCGTTCTATAATTTAAAAAAATAATCTCAAAATTTTAATAGAAAATAGTAAAGTTATTAAAGGGTTAAAAGTAGAGTAAGAGATTTTGATAGTTGCGGACGCTAATTTATTTACCCGCGGTGACTCAGCCGGTCTAGCCAAAAGGCGTAATAACCCCGAATTTATAATTGGCTGTATATATAAATTCAAGGTTTTCTAGCTCAGCCCTATCTTATTCTTTTATATATATTAATAGTAATCTCGCGAAGAAGAGTATAAGTAATCTTAATACGATATTTTTTATAGTATTCGGTATTGGGAAGTAATTTATTAGCATCGCGAATCGATAGTTAATTAATAAGTATATCTATCTTATTTAAATATTATTTAATATAATCGATAATTTAGATAATCTAGATAATCTAATAGATAATAATCTAGAGATTTTAAGTAATTTAATTTATAGTTAATAAGTAAGATAGTAATAATAGTATATAAAATAGTTAGAATATCTAAATATCTTTAAAAAATCTTTTAAATTATAGAATTTATTAGCGTAATTTAATATATATATATCTCTTAATATATCTAGATATTCTCGAGAGCTTATATTAGTAATTTAGTATAAATAATAAATTAGCTATCTAACGATTCTAAAATATATAGAGTTTATCGCTAAATTAGAGCTTTAAGATAGCTAATTTAATATATATAGAATATAGATTCTCTAGTCTAAAACCCCCTATTATTGCTATTAAGATATTAAAACTTAAGTATATCTAGAGTTCGCTTACTAACCTAGCATTAAAACCCGACTTAAGTACTCGTACTCTTAATATACTATTCAGCTCTTAGCCCTATGGCTAGCGGGCCTTAACGAAGGTATCTCCTACTATATCATATTACTCGGGTGATAGAAAAGTCTAGATACTAAGCAAATGGGGATTACGGCCTTTTCTTATCAAATTTCTATGCGTAAATATCATATTTCTTCATTAATAGCCTGTTACTTATCTATCACCGTCTAGAATAGTTTAAATTCTTTTAGTTATACTAATTACACACTTATTTATAATCTAAGAGAATAAAATTTAAGTGTAAAATTGTATATAGAACGATTCTTAATCTTCTAGCTTAATTTAGATTAGTATTTAGGCTTTTCTATTACCCGCGTATATGTCTCCTTTCTATCTATATAGTTCGATAGCCTTATTATCCTTAATCTATCTCACCTATACTAGTATTACATCTATACTAGTTCTAATATTTACTAGAATTTATAATCTTCAATTTTCTTTTCTTATAACTTATTAGAGAGGTTTCGTAACTTTTTTCTTATATTCTTAGTCTTATAGTAATATTAGATTTCAATATACGTACTAGAGTATATTCGAGACTTTTCTAATAAACTAATAAATCTTTCGAGTATTAAATATACTTTTAAGTATATATTAATAGACTTTAATATATCTAATAACGATTATCTATATCTCTTATAGCTAATAATTCTTAAAGTTAATTAGTAAAGCGATTCTACTATTAATAGAATCGTTCTATTAACTTTAGCGCGTATTAAACTTTATTAAATTTTATTAGATTTTCGAGTTATCGCTAGATTTATTTAAGATAAAATTATATTAAATAAGATAGAAGATTATATAAGAAAAAAGTTATAAAATATCTCTATTATTTTATAAAGATACGAGTAAAGGCCTATAAATTAAATTCATAATCATTTTTTTAATTAGGGCTATCGAGTAAGTAGATAAGCGATCTTTAGTGAGCGAACTTTGGTGAGCGATATTTGAATTCCTTGCGCTTTAATAATTATAAGACTAAATTTCAGAATTCTTAAAAATTCGGAAAGCATAAATAGCGCTTCAAAATTTAAAGAAAAAACTCTAAAATTTTAATAGAAAATAAAAAAATAATTCTATATGTTAATAATATATATCTATTTTTTTAATAAGAGAGGCGTAAAAGGGCGAGATTTTGATAGTTACGGACGTTAATTTATTTACCCGTAATAAGTTAGTCGATCTAGTTAAAAGGCGTAATAACCTCGAATTAATAATTGGCTATATATATAAATTCAAGGTTTTCAAGCTCGGCCCTACCTTATTCTATTATATATACTATTATATAAATTTATCAATAATATAATCCTAGTTTTCAAAATCCTTTAGACTTTGAAAATCGTATTCTATGGTCTTTTAGAATTTTTTTCGGGGTTTTTATTATACTGTTGTGGAACGGTGAGTTGTAAAGATCGAATTTTAGAGATCGCAAATCCGGGCAAATCCTAAAGAATATGAGTAAGGCAGTTTATTTCTTCCACCAGAGCGAAGGACTCAGGTCGCGCAATCCTAGCCCTACGAATGACCTGTACATAGGAGACTTTACGCGGGCAATGAGAGAAGAGGAGCTCATCCCTGTTGTGACTGGTGAGACGCCCTCACCAAGAATCATTCATACCAACGCGACCTTCACCCGTGTTACGCAAGCGTAGAGCGGCGCTAACCCTAGGCCTAATGCGGCGTGATGCTTGCACTCTGCCTAAAATCATGAAAATTGACGCGCTTTCAGCTGTGCACAATTATTGTTGCGCGTTTGAGATTAAACTTACTACCAAATGTTGAGGAATAAGATCTCTGTTTTGTACACATTGTGGCTTCGGAGGATACGAATCGAAGAGCGTAACGGAATAGATTCCCAAAAGGCTGCAGGCCGCTAATAGAGCGAGCTGGCAGACAGCTTACTTGAGCAACTGAGTATTCTTAGTATCCCCCAGCAAGGACCACCAAACGATTGGTAAATGGAGGAGATCTTACTAAGCGCAGTTTGAGAGTGCGTGTCTCAAAGGGGATTGGAAGGGAAGTGCCGTGCTGACTCCACTGAATTACGCAATCAGGAAGAGCAGTCTGAGAGAAACATGCGTTCAAAGCCTCGTTCTCGGGAAACGCATCCAGTAATACTTCAGTAGTGGACCATGAGAAGTGTGAAGCAACCTGGCCAGCACCGCCATAATCTCAACTGTTCCTCTTCCCAGTGGCGTGCATGGCATTTTACACCTCATACTACACCACTGCCTTCGCCCCCTCTAGGTTTCGAAGATCTCACGTCGTCCTGTGCCTACGAGACGATTCCAGTGAGTGAATTGGTGTCACTAGTATTGAATCTCGTCCGTTAACAATGTTTCAAAGCCCTGTCAGACATGTAATTCAATGGGTTTCCCAGAGAACAAATGCATATCTATCTCGAATTGTAATGCCAAGACGACTTCAGCCACGTTGCTCTCAAGCACAACAGGAGCCTCATCAACGGCACAGGGAAAAAGCGACAGGGTGATCCCATCTGCTGAGAATCTTCCACATCGCCCAAAAGAAAATTAACTTTCTTGCCCGCTCGATTGCAATCAAGGAACTTCGATGTGAAAAATTTCAAAGCTTCTTGACAGTTGTCCCCGTCGGTGTAGTCGCGAAAAGTATCACCGATTGGAAGTCTCTTTATCTTCTCCTTAAGGACGTCCTACTTTGTGAACAAAAAATTCACCGAGGCAGTATTTTCGGACCATTTCGAATCGATGACTTCCTCAAAGACGGAAGTCCTTCCATCATGCCATTCTGGAATCATAGACTCGACTCCCGGCAGACCGGAAAGCCCCATGAGCGGTTAGAAGCGGAGGACTTTTTTTCGTTTTTTTTCGAGGCTCCTAGTACCGCACTGTAGATTTTCATGGGGGTTCTTCGTTGGCGCACAGGGGATTTCGGAGGGCTTGTTCATCTCTAGCGATCTTATCGCCGCACGGTGGGGCTCTGAGGGCTTGATCATCATCACGTAGGCTAGTAGCTTGGATCCCTTAGAGGCTGGCTTTAGATACAGTGTGCATCCATCTTGGGCCTGGAAACCCCGAAGGACGATGCGTCTGACTGGGCTTTTAATGCCTGTGAAACATGCGGGATAACCCGTAGGGGGTCCAGTGTGACTTGGTCAACCAACAAATCAATCCATCAATCAATCAATTGACATTAAGCGGACTTCCACCTTAAGCGGGCGTCCTTCTCGACATTTGGCCGAGATGCCCGGTGGGTCTAAGTCAAACGTGGAGCCATGGTGGTCAGATGGCCACGCTTGGACTCCCGGCCGTCCACACTGCACGGACCGCCAGACGTGATTAATCCCGCAATCCGAGACCCACGTATTTACGTTGCATGATCATCAGCGTTATACTCCGTGAGTGGCTGATGTATTATCAATGGATGTGCGACGCGATGAAAGTCAACGACTTAAGGGTATACCGTAAGGAATTCCCTCTTCCGTGACCAGAGAACAAGCTTTCGCACATCAGAGGTAAGTGCGATATCAAAATGCTAGCCTATGAACATGGTGGCCCAACAAAGAAGCTCACAACTAACAACATCCCTACTACTTGAGTGCTCTGCCCTCATTCCACCCCAAAATGGGGTCAAGGTGAACGACTATGCTGCTTTTATCCGTTCGCCCTTCGAGGCTGCAGTATTCCTAAGAGAAAAGTGAGGACAAGGCAATCGATCACATGCCCACGAGACTAAGATTGCCCACGAAGCCCGGCCCCTGGAACACAAGCAGCCTCTTCGAGATTCGCCATCCCTCAGTCGCTCTCTCAATGGTGTCCGCATAGTATCCATAAAGAGACACCACTGAGCCGATAGAGTAAGGTTTGCCGAAAAGGCTAGCTTGGAAGTAGGTGGTAGAATTTGCGTTGATTTCATTGCTGTGGATGTCGATGACGGTGGTGCCGAGGAGGTGTTGGGAGTAGACGTTGGCAACCGATGCTGCGAGCGCGATCTGGATTGCTGGAAGGCCGTTGAGATTGGAGAGATCGCCGGTGTAGTTGGCGGAGGCGCCGGACGTGAAGACCTGTTCTTACTCGGTAGGTAAACGACTTAGACGCTAGGGTTATATTGAGCAAAGAGACAGAGGGTCATGATTCGATCGGGAGTTTTCGATGCTGAGATTTGGGATTTGGATACCTTCGAGAGCAGGGCGAAGTCCTTAGAGTCAATTGCCAGTGGGTACGTGTGAATTGTCTGGTGGATTGACTCCCAGGGTGTGAGTGCGAGTGTGAGATTTGAGACGCATAGGAGAGCAAGAGAATAAAGGAGAGAGTAGCGCCGTGTATGCATGGTCTTGAAGCTTTGTTCCTAGAGAGATTCGATAGCCTTGCCTGATGCCAGGGAGAAAGACCGAAAATTGGTGGGAAGGATTGAGAAACCAAGTTCGGGGCCTTAAGAACATCATCATGGATTTGTTCGGTCGACATTTTGTTGACGTAGTGATTAGTAATCGAGTCGCTCAGCCGAACGCATGAGATGACAAAGAACAAGGTAGACCAGGTATCGTGTGGGTAGAAGAAGGATGGCTCTACTATGTATGGCTGGTGCAGAGCCAGATATCTACCATAACCAAGGCCCACTAGTGTTATTAACTAGGCAACCCCTATCAACTACTACCAAATAAATAATAAGAGCCTCGCGACCATACCTAATCAACACCTTAATCCACATCAAATCCTTCATAATATCCTTCATATCTATAGATCGATTTAGATGTATTAATACTTCCAGCACTCATAACAGCCTTAATAGCCTTAATAGCCTTCGATAAATTCTTCTTTAAAATAAATCAAGGCTCTATAGAATTTAAATTATTTATACTCTAGATAACTAATTTAGATTTAATTACTAATTAAGAAGCTTACTTAGAATTCGGAGACGATAATAGAAATTATAGTAAGACTCTCTATTTAGGCACACTACTCTTCGCTAAATAAGAAGTCTATATGAAATTCTAACTAAGTTATAAATATATTTCTCTTTACGACGTCTTTATAGAATATAGTCTCTCGTAATTAAATCTTCTTATACTTAATCTTTCTAATAACTAATTAAAATTTATATATTTATTCTATAGATATAAATATCGAATATAAAGATATCTTAATAATAGTTCTTTAAATAATTTTACGTCGAAGCTCGAGATCTTATAAATCTTTAAAAAATATATTATAGATTAAATTTAATATTAATAACTCGAGGATTAATAGAGATAGACCTTCGAGAAAACGATTATAAACTTCGAAATAATATATAATTTATATTATACGCTAATAATATAAAGTAAATAACTTCTTAATATTCTAATATAAGCTTTTAAGTTCTTTTAAAAAGATAGTCGAAATTATCTCGATAGACTTAATAGAAAAACGCTCTTTAAAGAGCGAGAGAAATTAATTTAATAACTCGCTAATATAAGATTCGACGAAAAGCGTATTAATTTCTAATAAAGACTCTATTTAATCGACTATATTTTCTATAAAAAGTAGATCTATTGTCATGAGATGCCTCAGGGATACTCATAGGGCCACTAGCGTAGGCTTGGCACCGCACATATCTGCCTGCAGACCACATAGATAATCAACATCTTTTACACCACACACATATATGAGTCAAACCATAATGATTCCTTAACAATTGGTAGCAACACCTGGCCCTACTTCATAGGATATCCAGGCGTCATCAGACGTTTACGCAAAGCCCACATCAACACCTAATAGTGTGACGCTCCAAGCCGGACCTCCAACACACTCGCAGTCATCGAGTACCTTTTGACACCGTCCAAATCGATCCTTTCAATAGGCCTGTCGATATCACAATGAACTCATACGCTGCAAGACTTGCCTCATTCACGTCATGGCCACACGTATATCCAAGTGCCTCTGACGTAGCCCGTGCTGGCTTTCATCGAGAATTCGACCCTACTTTTCCATCTCCGGATCTCACTGTGTGCTCACTATGCGGTCTTGATCCTTGTGACTGGGATAGTGACAATCCATTTGATTTCCACGCTACTCGATCACCGGAGTGTCCATTTGTACGTGCAACACAGCAGAAGAAGAAGCACCGGAATCAGAAGACTCGCCAGCAATACAAGAGGTCTCTAAAAGCCACTCAGTCAGCCACTCAGCCAGAGCACTCAGTTGAACAAGAGGAGGAGTCACTACAACAGGCAAATGCGGAGAACACTGCGGAGAAACCAAGCGACAACAAGGCCACCATCATCAAGAACACGGCTCAGCTCTCCAAGACCCCACGTCATATGCTCTCTACGATTCCACATCAAACCACCACTCAGCAGGAGAACATCACTGCAATTTGGCCTATCATCTCCGCTGCACTATTGTGGCACACAATCACTGAGTTGAGCATACAAGAGAAGGATCTACTACGACGGTCACAGCCAAATCACTATGGCTATGGCAATTGGACCTCTGCAGGCAAGGGTCACATCGGACGATGCATATTTGGACGAATTGAAACCGTCCGATGTCTTGCTTCAACATCCATTTCACTATTCAAAAGCTTTCACTGCGGCAGGAGAACTCATGGGATTCACACCACTAATTGGCCTGGTGTCTCCATTCCTTTCCGGCATTTCGAAAACTCACTCATTCATGCATGCATACTTCTTGCCATGAGGACATGGCATTTCTCTGTTTTTTGTGGGCAATTGTCATGAGATGCCTCAGGGATACTCATAGGGCCACTAGCGTAGGCTTGGCACCGCACATATCTGCCTGCAGACCACATAGATAATCAACATCTTTTACACCACACACATATATGAGTCAAACCATAATGATTCCTTAACATCTATAGAGTTTAAATTATACTTCGAGATAATAACTTTATTTCGAAAATCTTATAATTTAAATTTAAGACGCTTTAGTTAATAAAAAACTAGTTTTAAATCGTTATAGATATAATAAAAATCGAATATCGAATATAATTAATTCGATATAATTAATAATATAACTAATATAATTAATATAATTAATATAATAAACTAATAACGAGTAATTTCTTAAGACTCTTAATAATATCGCACCGTAGTTATTAGAAATAAGAGAAATAAAAGATATACGTTTAGAGGTAGAAGGATTATTAAATTAAAAGATAATAAATAATAGAAGTAAGATCGTTCTTTAAGGTTATAAGAAATCTAAGTAAGACTTCTAAAGAATAAGATAGATTAGATATCGTATAAATAGAAGAAGGATGGCTCTACTATGTATGGCTGGTGCAAAGCCAGATATCTATTATAACCAAGGCCCACTAGTGTTGTTGGCTAGGCAACCCCTGTCAACTATGACGTCAGTGAAATTCCAGCATCTACAGTAGACCAAACACATCTCAGGGCCATCTGCCATAAGCTTGGAGGCTGACGTAGCCGTACCGCTCTCAACAGCCATAAAAGACAAGATCATTCTGTATGATTATCCGAAGTCTATTCGAGCAATGAGGAATTTGAGATCGGAAAATCGTCTGGATCTCAAGACAGATGAAGATTCATAAGAGCTGATAGCTTACTTGTCTTTGATCTTGGATGCAAGCAACATAGTGCCATTTCGACCAACGCTGCTCCTCACATCGCGGTTATCGGTTGTCGGCAGGAGCGCCTGTAGTACTATCATTCTCATGGATTCAATTCTTACTTAACCCGTGATCGGAAGCGGCAATCGCATAAATTTTTTTCACTGCTCGTCGTCAATATCAAAATCGCGACAACTGCTTTTACAATGTGTCATTCATAAGGGTGAAGTACTTTTTTACTCATTGAAGTCACTGTCGATGTCTCACGCCTTCACTATCATGAAACTCAACATCTTCTTATCCTCATTTCTCTCCGGTTCTGTTGCGCTAGTCTCTGCCGCATCAATTCTGGCCAGGGTCCAGCTAGTGAAGAATGACACCTTCTCAGGAGTGCTTCCTCCTATCAAGTAGGCTCATGGAGGCGGCGCAAGTTGCTGGCAGAATGCTGATCGTTCATATCATAGTGCTTCCAGTCTCGCCATGATAAAGCCCCCTGAGGGTTTCCAGTTGAGCATTACTTGGGATGCGAGCGTGGAGCTATCCTGGTTTGAGGATTACGTAAACACAATGGAAGCGATGATTGCTTACGCCAAGCAACCGTGGAACGGCTTCGCAGGCCAACTTCCAAACATTATCTCGTCTCCGTGGTTCGATTCGAAGCTCGAAATAGGCCGACTTCGGTCTGAACTCCAAATCAAGCACATCATCGCGGCACTGTATGGAACAGGTGTTACCATTGGTGATCGCCATGGTTCAGACACGTTCAAACTTGACGCTAAAATCATTCTTCACGATCGCCAGGTCGGATGGTTACTATACAGCCTTAAACGCTTGAACCTGGAAGATTATACAATCAACAACACGGTTCTTTTAGGCGGCGACTACTCTAACAATACTCTCTCGACAAGCATTTCAGAACAGTCACCCAATCCCCTCGTTGCTCTCCCTAGTGGCCTCTCCGCCCGCCGCTCGGGCTGGGTCACTGATCGTAGCGATTCGAATTTCAAGGTCCATTTTGAATGCGAGGGTACATCCATCTCCGCAAGCAGAGTATTTACAGCTTTCTTGGACGGCCTAGCCACCGCGGCGCAACACGATAACGACGAGACAGGTGCGGAAATGCGTGTTCTCAGCGTTGACAATCACGTATCGATTGTCATGTACAAAGATCCCGGCGCGGCAACCTTTACTTGGGGCGATCTGAAATCTGCTTTGGCATTGATCTGGCGGGAAATAGTGGTAGGATACCAAAGCAGTGAAGGTTCGTCGTGGGAGGATATGAATTTTGGGATATTCTACAAGAAAAAGAAGATAGGTGAGGGTTACGTGATTTATTTCGAGACGCCTCCACTGCCGTTTGAGACGGCCGTAGCAAGATAAGAGTTTCTTTTTTTTAGTCGATCAATGCGGGACCATCGAAGCGAGGAGACTTTCAGGCTCGTTTGTCGACATCCAGAAAAACATTGCACCAGACCCACTATGGCAGCAATGCTTTGAGGGTCTCGTACGATTCATGAAAGTTGTTGTCGGTGTAATCAGTTATTCAGTCTGTTAAAGGCGGGAAGATGAATATGGAGATGAAGACTGGTCTTTCCTTGGAGCCGGATCTGGCACGCCTCACAGATGTGTCAACATGCAATTCTTCCTTTCTCAGTTGCCTCTCAATTTGCCGAAATGTCAGTGTCCTTCGATGATCTTTTTGCGTCTTTCTGCAGACACTCCCATTCCGAGATAACCCCCACACTAGCAGGGTACTTGGCTTGAGGTGTAAAGAACTACGGGCTGGGCCGCTCATGGCGGGTAGAGGGTCGGGGACAAAAGTCGTTGGACACTTTGGTAGGGCTTAGCGGGGATCGGTGTCCAACGACTTTTGTCCCCGACCCTCGGGTACTCTCAAATTTATGAAATGTCAGCGGTGAATCACTGCCGGCGCCTACACAGTCTTAAAAGCTAACACCAGCCGCGACGATCTTTGCAGCCGAAAGCCAGGATGCAACGTCGGAAGCAAACAAAATTGCCATTTAATTGCTCTCTACCTAAACTCTCCACTCTTCTCCTCTCAAACAGATTGTACTTTGTGTATGGGAGCTCCATTCGCAAACCCTTATCCAGTCGTTGTACCAAATCCTAGTGTCTCCTTCGGCTGCGCCCGCAAGGCATGCACGGATTGAGATTGACTCGGAAAGCTTTTATGCTTTCATCTGTGGCATAGAAATGCGAAGAAGTTCTCCCTTGAAGGCTATATTTCACACTGTGTGCCTGGAATATCGAGAGTCTTTGATTCAGTAAACCTCACATATTGCAACGATTGAGCTCTGATGATAGGGCAGTAGCATGGCATCATCCATACAGACCCCCAGCCAAGACGTATCCAACCAATTTTCGCTCCAAAATCGCATCCCTCGTACCGTACCCTTTCTGCAACCTTGGTCTTGCTTTCGGCTCCTTGTCAAAGCGAAACATTTGGTCAAAGATCCGTGTACCTCTTCAATTCACCCATCTTTACACTGTTCATGTTTGGCGCCAAGAATCCCTAGGATGATGCAGCTTTAAAGTTTGTAGGTTCTTTGCAGATGCTTGTGAACTAGTATTGCGTCTGCGAGGGTCGCCGCTATCTGGTCATTTCATACACGGCTCCTCCCAATAGCCACCTACTACATTCTGCCCTTACTAGGGTCTGTGATATGAGAAGCACGTCCTCTTCTCCCCTGCTCGAGAAAAATTGTTACTTTAATTCCCTCATCCGCGTAGTGAAACACATCGTCATACCCCAAAGTAAAGGATTCCTACATTCTCATACCCGGAAGGGATATTAATTTGTAAATTATGATAGTAGGTACCATAGAATTGCTACCAAAGGTTCCACTTTCGAAATTCAACCAAAGCGAGTATAGACCCCTCATCAACGTCAGCGCAATCCCAACCTCAGAATCGCAATACTGTTCTCGTAGGGCGCGACAGCGTCGAATAGGGGTGGGCTTTCGGGGCGAGGTTTGTGGGCGTGGTTCCCGGGGGCGGGGGTGGGGGGGCGGGTCAGGGTAGATAGCCTGTAGCCCGCCGCAAACCGGTAACCCGATAGCCTCTAAGTGACCCCCATCTATCAAGGCATTACGCACCGAAGACAGCGTGAAATAGATCTACAAATGCGACAAACGAAATTTGGCCTCCCAGTCTGTATGACTGGGTCCTCACACACACGTTTAATTACACTTCTACTGGTCTATAGACACAGGCACAGCCATATCTACAAGTTGATGGCAACTTGTATTTTCATATCCCAGGGTGATGGCATCTCACAATTTTATACCCCAAAATTTGGTGTGGGGTATGAAGATGTCTCAGCAACGAGGGCTGGCGCTGGACCCAATGGACCGTCTTATTCACCCTATTCACGCGCGCATCCTACAAAACGACTCTTCCCCACCACCGCGCCGCAGCTCTCAACATCACCAGCCTCCTCAAACCCCATCGCACCCCACGCCAGCACATCCGCTTCTTCTTCACCGCCACCATCACTCGATCCCTCCACGCGGTATTCACAGAGCCTATCATTAGCCTCTCCAACCTCTACATATCCTCCATCTGCGGCCTCGTCAACCTCTCCGTAACCACAAACCCCTATGTCTTCTCTTCAACCACCACTTTGATCTTCTCACTCCAAGTCTGTCCTTCTCAGTCTCGCCACCAGCTGCATCCTCGACACGTGAAGTCTATACCAAGCCACTAGCAAAGCCTTAATACACACGTGAAATCACCACCCTCCCGAAACAAGCCATGTCCGCATGGCTGATACTTGGAGGTATGCACTGAATCTTTGCCCTGCTCCACAAAGCACATGCATTTCCTACCTACCATGGCTGGAGAAGAAATCAAGAAAATCGGTCCCGCTGTAGGTGTTTTGGAGCGTGTTTCTTCGGCGCATACGAAAGCATTTGAATATTGGATTCAGAAGTCGGTTTCTGAGCATATGTATCGCGCTAAGACTTCTATGTTCAGGAATATCAATCAGGGGGCGCCTGGGAAAGCTGGGGACAGTAGGCTGGTGCTGGGCTTGACTTTCCGCTGGTTCCTCCACACCTTAACTGTTATGCTTGCCATGCTTATCAGATCGCTTGTAGAGATGCTGAATGGCCATGACAGAAAGGATTCAAAAGTGACGTAGGCTGGGTGAAATAGATCCAAAGCTTGCTTAATGGGGTATAGCATATGCAGAAGTCTTGAACGGTGAGGTAGGACTTTGGTTGATACGTAGGTCGGGATTGTGAAAGAGCTCCGTGAGCTGGCAAATGAGATGTCTCTGCTGTAGGGAGCGAGTTTGCACTAGAAACGATATGAGTGTGGCTCTTATCAAGGGAGAGCCTGGCTGGCTTGGTGTTGCGCAGTAGCTGGCGAAGTTACTGCTGGGTTTGGTGGTTCTGCTGCAGGGAGCGAGTCTACAATGTGGATGGGAAGCGTGAGGTTCTTGTTGCTAGAGAGTGATGCAGTGAATTTGGTGTGACCACTAGGAATCCCATTTCGACAACGTTTGCAGGTAACGGCCACTTGCTGCTCCCCGTACTGTACTCATGTCTTTAAACAATGACGTTATGATTGGTAATGTTGTAGGTAGTCGGCTGGAAGTTCGTTTACGTTTTCTGAATCCATGTCATGTCTATGTTGAAATCTTTCATGTGCCGCTTGCTGCCGGTCAACACGCTGTTCTTGCTGATGACGCGCCTGCTCCGTCTCATAGGCTTTGTGATTCCTCTCATACTCTCATTGTAGCTCGTTGTAGTACTGTTTCATCATGCCGGGACTGTGTTTTTGAAGTCCGCAAGGTAGAGGCATGTAGGTCGGTTAGTCAGGTGTTCTTTCAAAGGTAAGTCCGTAGTGGGCCAATGATCTAATTCAAGGCCACAATGGATACATTCCGCTATGTCCTTGCTCGTTCGATGAGGTGTACACTAGAATCATATTTCGACCAAGTCACCCGTGGCTAGGGAAGCATAGATTTATAGAATTCGTAGGTCTTGTCGAACTTGAGTCGATGAAGGTAACTAGGTAGTCGTTTCGCAGAAGAGGTGTCTTAGATTTATGAAGACTATCACGTTTTGCTGGCGGTGCCCTAGTATTATGTAACTTTTGTAATCTCTCCCTTGCAGTTAAGACAGCGATTTTGGGGGAGGGTCTATGAGAACTACCACCTTTTTCTGGCACCACACTTGAATAATAATGGCGGTTCTTGAAGAAGACTTGTCAAAACGGTCACCTTGTTCTGGCACTACACCTGGATCGTAACGACGGTTCTTGGCAGACCTTATAGAATCTATCACCATTTTCTGGCACTATCTCTGAATCGCAATATGGAATCTGTTACTGATCTCTGGCACTGCGCCTGAATTGTAGGATGGTTCTTAGGGGAAATTTACGAAAAGTATTTCATTTTTCTGGTACTACACCTGAATCATGATAGCGATCCTTAGGAAAATGTTTGTGATCTATCACCATTCTCCGGCACTATAGCTGAATCATATAATGATTCTAGACATAATTCGTAAAGACTGCCACTCTTTCCTGGTACTACGCCTAAACCTACAACGGTTCTATAAAAAGTATTACTACTTTCTGATACTGCATCTAAATTATAATAGCGGTTCTTAGGGAAACTATATGCAATCTATTACTTATCTCTGGTACTACGCCTAAATTACATCTCAAATTCAAGACATAATTCGTAAAGACTACTACTCTTTCCTGGTACTGGGCCTAAATTATAGTATAGTTTCTAGGGATAATTCGTAAAGACTGCTACTATATTCTGGTACTACGTATAAATCATACTGGCAGTCTTAGGGAAACTGTATGTGATCTATCACTTATCTCTGGCACTACGCCCTAAGCGTATGATGGTTGGTAGAGATAATCTGTAACGAATGTCACTCTTTTCTGGTATTGGGCCTGAATCGTACCATGGTTCCTAGGGTAATTCGTAAAGACTGTTACTATCTTCTGGTACTGCGCATGAATCATACTGGCAATTCTTAGGGAAAATGTATGTGATCTGTCAATAATCTCTGGCACTGCGCCCGAATCGTATGATGGTTTGTAGGGATAATCTGTAACGAGTGCCACTTTTTTCTGGTACTGCGTATGAATCATACTGGCAGGATTTGGGAAGCTGTATGTGATCTGTCAATTATCTCTGGCACCGCGCCCGAATCGTATGATAGTTTATAGGGATAATCTGTGACGAGTGCTACTCTTTTCTGGTACTGCGCCTGAAATATTGATTGATCCTTAGGGAAAATATATCAAAACTGACACTGTTTTCGGGAAATCTGTCTGAATTATTCGACTATTCTTAGGGGAAAATCGCGAAAGACTGCCACTTTTTCTGGTAGTACCCCGGAATTATATGACTTCTACGACTTCTCTCTAGCGAAATTATGGGAGGTTCTTAGGAAATTTTCAATGAGAATGTCACTCTTTTCTGGCAACTTTAGAACATTTAAGAAACTCATCAGGGTATTTTACCCTCCGTGTATGACATTTACCCGGTCAGTTTCCAGTCAATATACTCAATAGATGCTGACAAAGAATTCAAAGTCACGAAAAGTTTAGGGATTGGTCCCCCTTGCGGGGTTTTTGCGGGGGTTAAAAAGCTTCATTTTGCGCTAAACATTGGCATGCGTAAGGCAAATTCTATCTGAAATTTGCCCAATTTTCCGGAACTCGTCCGGAGAATCACTCTCTCTTAGCGGACTCTGCCCAAAGTCCTCCTACCAAAGCTCGTCGTCGATGGAGGAATTGTCGATTTCTGGCGGTATTGAACCGTGCGACGTTGTCATTGGGAGGGCCGAGGGGTCGCCGAGAGACGGAGCGGCCGGGGTTTATATAGGTTTGAATGGGAGTCCAAGTGGATTGCCAGGGGGGTATATATTTGTTGGGGCGTATCTAAAGGGATAGCCCGGGGAATATATACCCTCTGCTGCGGCATTGTTTGCAGTGTGTGTGGGCATGTTTGCTTGTCGGAAGGGCGATGCGTTGTACTGATTGCTCCCTTCTGTTTGCTCCACATGCTCGGTGCTCAGCTGATGGTGGGGATAGGACCCTCCCGGTATGCCTGAGTTCCAGTTTGCTCCCGAGAAAGGGTCTGGTTCTGGGCATGACATCTGCTGATTGATGTCCATTGATTGCTCCAACCAGAATTGGTTTTCTGTCGACGAAGGATCAATTCCTGGTATGAGTGACGAGGAATGACTGGAATAGAACCCGGCATTCTCGTCCAAGTCCTGGTACGGCGTAGGTTCAGAGTCTGGGATCGAGTCTGATGTGTAGTCCTCCTCGTCTGATAGACCAGGTTGATCGGTGACCTCCGCCTCTTTCCCCTTGCGTTTGCCCCTCTCGTGCCAAATAACACACTCGGGGTGTTCCTTCCTCCATCTTGCTAGGCGATTTGTGAAGCCCGACCCCCCCTGTAGCTTTCTCTCCCCGCTCGCTGTGGCTCTTCTAGGAGGCATTCGGCTCGTCTGGCTGGACAACTTGATCAGCATGTTGTTCGAAGTCATGCTGGAACGAACTCACTCCGAGACTGTCATTCCACAAACCCGTCGCAGACCTTCCACAACTATATCCCGCTCATGAGTACTCATTACCTGAGGTGCTCCAGGGTAGTCTTTGACTGGCCGGTTGTTTGTGTTCAACATGACAAGTCCCCTAAGCATAATGTAAGGGGCTTTTGGATTGTGCTCCAAGTCTACCGGACGTTCGGGCAACAGAAGTACCTGACGACCCATGTAGTCCCTTACTGACTTAAGATCTTCAGTCCAGCTTTGCGTCATTGGGCTGTAACTGGTGTAATCCGTTGACATCCCTTCTCGAAATACTATCCTCATTAGCTCACGTGTAAGACGCGTCGGCTTTAACAACCTACCTGGAGCTCCAGGCTGCTGGGCCGCCCTCATGATAAGCTCCTCTCTGTTGTCGCAATGATAGGCTGCGGGCTCTGCTCACGAATTAGTTTCGGTAGTTCGTGCAGACTCCAGTCGCACCAACATACTCCACTCCTTGTTCACCATGCCGTACATGATGCCATTCTCCCACCTGGTTTCTGCCCGCGCCCTGTTGTCAGTGCCTAGCGTGTCTCCAAGCCTTGCTTTCTTGAGTCCTAGTTTGGACACTCTACCGCCTTTTCCTGCGGCAGGGGTCTTTGCCTTGCTCGGTGACTTGCTTGGACCAGGTGGCTGAGCAGGGTCAGCGCACTGTAGCCGTTTCGGTGCGAGGGGCTTCTGCGTCTCCGTGCGTGCTTGGCTCTGAGGAGCGCCTCTGCTGATGCCTTCAGCATCGTTTCCGGTGTCGCGCATGTGACTGTTGGCTCCCTCGAGCAACGGTGTAGCCTGGTATTGGCTGTAATAATCCATGCTTGGAGTCGATCCTGATAAGTCACTATGCATGAAGTCTGGTAGGAGAAAATCTTCATCTTGCGCCTGAGGTCCGAAGATTCTGTTGTAATTGTGGGCGGAAGCCTCAAAACCGAGACTGGCTAGGTCTGGGTAGGTTGTCTGGGCCGTACTACTTTGTTCGTAACCTATCTCATGTCAATGGCTTTGGCATAGACTACCTTTTGACGAGACTTACCTCTCATATTGATGTGGGGGGATAGTTCTCCTTCGGAGGAGAAGTCATTGACGACTGGCATCTTCATCCACACAATTATGAGGTGGGCCCAGTTGGGATTGGAAAGGAGGAGGAGCTGGAGTGATAGAGATGGAAAAGTGCAGAACGCTTGACCAGGAGAATGCTCTGGGAACCGGAGCTTGATGTTGAGGATAAAGGAGTACTGGAGATGGTCAAGCAAAAGCTGCTCTGATGGTGGTATTTATTGCAGGTATGAAGGGGGGCAAGTTCTGGCTGGGCTCAGTATGATGATACAGATGAGTGAAGCCCCACTAATGGAGTCCTCATCGGGAGAAACTGATGCAGCGCTAGCAGGAATGCAACCTCGGTCTCCATCATCGATTCAGATAATACTCAGGGCCGTATGATCCGGGAGGGGGATCCATCCCCAGGCAACCACCAACAGACATAGATGATCTCATGACTGCATAGCGATTGGTCCTCTGATTAACGATGCTGGGAATGAAAGCCAATCAATATATGATGGAACAAGATGAACCAAGGCACTGGCAGATCAAATGGCTCATGTCAACTCCCCGTACCAATGAGGGGCTCTTCCTGTGTTCACGCGTCTTGAAAATGGAGCCTAAACCGCCAATGCAGCATGATACCGAGGCTCGCCATCCAGTCAGACAATACGATATTGCAGAGATAGATGCATAGATAGAATTCTGACTTAGTTTGGTCTCATCTGAGGCTAAAGACGTACGGCCGGCGGTAATTGGCTTTCGCTGCTCCAGAGCAATTGCGTGTACCAATGAGCGACCCTGTCGGCGGTTACGCATTTTAAAATCGGAGTCTTCCTTTCCCAACCAATGTGTGCAGCGCCTCTTGGGGCAAATCGAAGAGCAATATATCGCATATTTTTCGAAATACTCAAAACACAGAAGTATCAGGTCTACGGCCTGAGAGACCAATCGACATCCCCCGGAGCCTGGACCGTGCACGAGCAGGGGCAGTTTCACGCCAAAATTAGCCATGCCCCCCCAAAATTAACCAATTTTTTTACCTATTTCCTTAACGCTGTAAGAGATCATGGCTGCCAACCCAAGCGCAAACTGCAGTTTCATAGGACACCAGAGAAAGAGGAGCGCAAAACTCTCCGAAACGCGTTCGAAGGCGAGTGAAGACCCTTGGAGCCCTCTCCCTGCGCTAAGAATATCTCCTGCCTAATCCGCGGCTGGCAAGAAAAGCCAGAGAGCACGGGAAAGCGCCCAGCGACGCGCTGCATGGATCCACGGTGCCGTTAGGCAACCAGGTTACTTCGTCCTCGTGCAGATCCCTCGATGCAACTCGTGCATATCCTCAGATGCAGCAGTCTACTTTCATCGCTCGCTTCGACGTGCATTATCTAGTCAGATTCTCTCGATCCTCTGGAAGCCAGCCTCATTCTAGCTCGGTTCTTGCCGCCGGAAGAGACTTATTACCGTCGGAAGGATGAGCCGAAGGGCTGCTTACCATGGCGTATCAGATGATGAACATGATGACCAGGTGACTTGGTGGCTAGCTATCGACTGCAACATTATTGGACTGTAGATCTGATTTCTCCGGCCGTTGTCAAGCTTAGGTTGGAAGGATCGACCCCGAACGCTTGGGTTAACTAGCAGCCACTACGAACGCAGGAACGTGCAGATGGCTTGGTTTCTAGCTAGAAGTGGCGACAATAACACTTTTAGAGCCTTCCAAATTGCGGGGAGTATGGGTATACCCCTGTCGGGCAAAGATCTACCCCTCGTTTCTGCTTTCCTTGGGCCGTCTGACAGCAGTATTAACATTTCCATAGCTCATCACCTTGCAGGAGTCGTTCGGATGAATGGTTCCTCGATCTGTAAGTGGGCGCTACTGGCGGGAACAATCCCCCGCTCTGTGGCGGCTGCATGGGATTCAACCTAAATATATCGACCGTTTACCGGAAGGAACTTGGGATTAAGGCTGCTGAAGTGGGGAAATTGGTTTCTCTTCGCCACAAAGGACGCTTTATTTAGAGTTCGTTTGGTTACAACTGCCACCTTATCTGGGGAAGTGGCTATCAGACGGGTACGATAGACGGGGAAAGTACCCAACAAGGACCCTTCATCCAGGGTTTGTTTGGTTACAATGGTTGCCTTTTCCTGCAGAGTGACTCTCAGACAGACATGATGAACGGGAAAGTACCAGCCTTTTAGACTGGAAGTTAGGGCTCGTTTGATAATGATTGCCACCTTATCTGAGGGTGATGCCTACTAGACGACCATGATGGACGGGAAAAGTACTCAACAGGGACGTTTAAGTAGGGTTCGTTTGGTTTTATATGCCATCTTGTCTGGGGGTGGTGCCTACTAGACGACCATGATAGACGGGAAAATAACCTAACAAGTACGTTTATTAAGGGCTCGTTTAATCATCATTGTCCCCTTCTCCGGGAAAGTGCCTATCAGACGGACATAATGTATAGGAAAAGTACCATCTCTTTAGACCGAAAATTAAGGCTCATTTGATTACAACTGTCACCTTTTCCGAGTGAATGCCTATCAGATGGATATAACAAATGAGAGAAGTACCAGCTATTTAGACTAAAAGATAGGCTTCCTTCGCCAACAAAGGACGCTTGGTTAGGGCTCGGTTGATTACGACTGTTACCTTATCGGGGAGAGGTCCCATTAAATGAACATAATGAACGGGAAAAATGCCAGCTCTGTAGACTGAATTTGGGGCTCGTTTGGTCACAACTGTCACCTATTCTGGGAGAGTTCTTATCAGATGGGTAAAATAAATGGAAAAAGTACCAGCCCTTTGAACTAAAAGATAGCTTTCCTTCGTGAATAAGGGTTGCTTGATTAGGGCTCGCTTAATTATAACCATTACTCTATCTGAAAGAGTATCTATGAGATAGACATAGAGGACGGGTAAAATACCAGCTGTTTATACTGAGATATGGTATCCCTTCGCTAATAAAGAACGCTTTATTAGGGCTTGTGTGGTTACAGTTTATCACCTTTTCTGGGAAACTATCTATCAAACGGGTATGATGGCTGGGACAAATACATAACAAGGACATTGAGTTAGGGTTGTTCTGTTTATAACTGTTGTCTTGTCTGGGAAAGTGGCTATTCGACGGGTATAATGGACGGGAACAGTACCAGCTGTTGAGATCCGGTCGAAGGTCTTCGTCCACAGATGAAGTATATATGTACAAATAGTAACAGACCACATGTATCTTCGCACCCGTCACCATTGGTCGCTCGTACTCTACCTCCGCACCGATCCACCAAACCCACCAGCCAAGGTACTAGTTAGTACACGCCTGACCTGAAGAAACTTTCCCCTGCAGAACATCCAAATAGCAGTTCCCACTTGACGTCAAATTCCCAGTGGTGCTGTCAATCAACGGCCACACGCTCCCCAAGCCAGCTCCATTACTATACCCATAGGCAATCACACTGGCATTCTTTTCGAAGAAGTCGACCACCTCGGGAATAAAAGTGTTGACGGTATCTTGATCGCACATTGTCCAACTCTCATCATTCACACACGCGAACTCGGACACCCAGACCGGCTTCCCATACTTGGTCCAGTAGTACCCCACATCTGCCTTCACCCCGTCGGAAGTATTCTTGTTCGTGTGGATGCAGGTGTAGTCCCACGGCGGCTCCGTTACCCCGAGCGCCTCCATGAATGGCGTGAGCCACGTTTCGTCCATCTGGGTGGCCATGGACGGCGATCCGACGAGGGTATTGCCAAGCTTGTCGAGGGTGGCCTTCCAGGCGGTGGCTGCGGTGGGCGCGTTCATGTTGCTGGAGTAAGGAGCTGGCCAGTCAGGCTCGTAGAAACCCATCATGTAGTCCGGGGCGGGGGAAGCGGGTAGGTCTGTATAGGCAGCGTAGCGGTTTTTGTCATCTGCTGCGGCGGTACCGATGGGGGCAGTAGGGTCGGTTTCGTTGAGGTCACCGTCGCCCCATAACTGGGGATTGGTTAGTGCTTCGTGCTTGAACAAAAGGGGCCCTCAGGAAATGGGTAGGTGGAGGAGCAGGAACAAGTAGGATTTGGAGAACTTACCATGCCGATGCCCTTTACAGTCTTCGTACCGCTGGTAAAATCGGTGGTGTTGGGCCAGTAGTCCGAGTACCACGAAATATAGGGAGCATATTGATCAAGTGCCGCCTTGTTGGTGTTCACGATATCCGGGAATCCTGCAACGCCGGCTTTTATTCCGTTTGGCGTGATACTAGAGCTAGCGGTTGCACCGCTACTGCCATCGGTACCGGTACTGCTTCCGGTACTGGCTACAGCGGTACTGGAGGTGCTGCTGGACGCACTGCTCGCGGCGACGGGGGAGGCGTTAGGGGAGCTATCGAGCTCTGCTACTGCGATGGACGGGGTTGAGGTGGGAGCTGTTAAGGCAGTGGAGCTGGACGATACGGCTCCTGGGGGACCATAATGGTTCCATTGGTGGAAATGTGGGTGCTGGGCATTTGATGATGCAGCAATTGTACATAAGATAGAAACGTAAGCTAAAAGGCCAGGCATTGTTGATAGGTTTAATATTGGTGAAAAATAAAAATGAAGGTCCTTTCAATCAATGAAAGTGGGAGGTATCCTGTCCGACAAAGCTGCTCTAAAAGAGTGTGGTGAATGGAAAGCTGTTCAAAGAATGACTGAGCGACGAGCGACCAAGAGAAGTGAAAGCTTTGGGCAGTGGAAGATGAATTTTGTGAGACCCAGCGTTGTGGTCTGCGGAGAGAAAGGACATTGCATGGAGCGGTCCAACGTTTCATGTGGGTCGAGGTTTCAAGTTCCAAAGATAAATTAATCACTCTCCTCCATTGGTCAATTCCAACTCGCAGTTATTTGCTGCCGACGGTGACTTTTGAGCCTCATGGACAACCCCCAAGTATAATTGATTGGATACTGCCTGAGCATGCTTGGGAGCCCTGTTTGAGGTCTTGGTATTCGCCAGGCTGCTCAACCAGAGCCAAGCCACTAGTCCATTCGAGTAATGGTCCCGGCAACGGTTGAGCTACTTTAAAATACGCTAGGGGCGTTTAGCAAAGAGTGGTAGGGCTGAAGGTGTGACAGCAAGTAAGGCAAGGGATGGTTGCCTCTGGAAGCATCATTTTGCACTGCATCACCGCTTGGTCTGATTATCACACTGACTCTCGTAGCTTCAGACGTACTCTGCGCCAGCTTCAGCCGATATTTTCGCCTTGTAGGAGTGTAGGATTCCATTTGCACCGTTTTCATTCGCTGATCCGATACACAGCCCCATGAAGCTCAGCGGCTAAGCTGACGAAGTGTCCAGGAAACCCATTCCATCTTTTAAGCTGCGCCTTTCTTTTATCACACTGAGGGTTACTGTCTCTTCTGGCTTCATGTCTCAGCATGTCTGACCTTCTCCAAATCCACGTGCCCAAGACCTCCTACAAGGCCGGAGATGACGTTTCGGGCTCTGTCTATCTTACCAACAGGAACGGCCAGAGAAGAGACGTTGATATCGAGTCGATATCAATAACCTTCACAGGCCGTCTATCACCTACGAAGTACTGGCCTCGTGTTCCCAAATCCATCCAAGTGTTCGCTTACAAGAAGATACTCTTGGCTGGACCTACAACTCTGCGCATTCCTCCAATTGGCTGTGAAGATCAACATAGCTGGCCTTTTACCTTCAGCGTCCCCGTCGACTGTAATGCAGTCCAACATGATGGCCCTCCGGCACCTCCTGTCTCCGTCTTCAACACTGATCATAACCAGCCTCTTCCTCCCTCACTTTCAATATTCTCAGATGAGAACACTCCACGCGACGCTGTTTCAATTGTCTACGAGCTTCAGGCAATGATTGATTCGCCGTCCACGACAGGGTCTTACCCCGCTAGCTGTATCAAGAGGCTGGGACTTAGCCTTTACGCCCCTAGGAACAAGGAACAAGCTGGTCTTGAATGCACTTACAAGATCCAGCGTCTTACTTGCCAGACTTTGGATCTCTTTCCTGAGGAAAACCGGGAACTAGCAAAGCGTCCGCTCAGGCTGCGGGAGAAGCTAGGTTTTCGATCAGTACCCACCGACCATCTTCCCAAAGCCGTATTCGATGCAAAGCTTCAGACTCTATCCTCTGCAATCATTGGCGCACCTCTGCCGATATTCCTCCACCTTGACTATGACGTCGGAAGCTCGACACTCAGAGTCCCGCCAGCAGTTTACCTCAAAAAGGTGGCTGTGTGGTTGCGAGAGGACACTTCAATGCTTGTACCGAAGCCAGGCCCAGTTTCCGGAGAGCAGGAGCAGGCCGGCTGGACGAAAGCGCCTCAACTTGCTGCGCAGGACTTGGACACAGGGATTCCGTTGGTGAATGGCTTCTTGGACATGCGAAAGATCATAGACTTGACGTTAAAGGATGATCTGATTCCGACATTCAGAACTTTCAACATAGCACGCTCCTACGAAACCAAGGTCAATGTGACCCTCGAATGTGCTGGGAAGATTTTCTTTATCTACGGCAACTACAACCCTTGCACGCTACTAGCTAAGCAATTCGATCCTGACGTCCGGCAATACGCGCAGCCAGCTGCGCCTGCAGTCATAATAAATGAAATTGATGATCCTCCACCCCCGTATGAACCGGTTGAACAACCAGCTGCTCAACCTCAATCCAGTCACGGCAACCAAAGCAGAAGAAGGAAGAAAAGAAGACATCACGGTGCCTTCCAGAACATGTCATCTGCTGGTGGTGGTGGTGGAGGGTGTTGAGCAGCCACCCACAGACAAGCCATCAGTGCCAGCAACAACTTCTGGACTGGCTCACAACTCAGTCTACGTTGGCCATTGCGTTGCCCGTCTTTTCTTGGGTACGAGTGCGCTACGTTTGATCTAGGTAGTATTGAGCTCCACAGTGACAACAGACGCAGAGGCCAAGCTCAGGAAATCGGGCTTCAGATCAGTCCGAATAGTTATCGAGTCGTCATGGAAGACTTCAACTGTGAATGTTTGACGACAAAATTTGCCGTGCTTCTATACGCATCTACTGCGCAAAGAAAAGGCTTCGTGCTTGACCGATACGCAAAGTCAGCAAAGCGACGCTCTGCACCGCATGTCTTCTGCCACGGTCAGAGCGCGACCTCCTGCTCCTCAGAATGGCGACGGTCCATCGACAACAGAAGGTACCAAGCCCTGGCATCACTCAAAATTTGTTGACTCGGAACCGAGAACCAAAAAACGATCTTACAGGGCTGTTCCACTCCGAAACCTCTCAGTGCGACAGAGCCGACAGTCAGCGAGAATATCAAACTGCGTAGCCGCACAACCTACAGCGGCTGCAAGATCAAGACTGGGTCTGCGCAACCTTATGATCACGAACTTCCGAGGAACGCCAGGTCCTTGTGTCCTGAATAGGATGTCCCTCTCTGGCCTCTTTTGCGAGCATCACTCAAAGCCATCATCGCCATGGTAGGCAGCAACCTTCACGACTGGCCCACAATATGTCTATGCCTCCTCTACAGCGCACTTGTCAGCTCAGCCATCTGCAACAGCGACGCGTACGGTAGCCCGAGTATCGATGATTGCAACCGGGCCATCTCCAAGATCCCATTCGCTCAGGCAGCACCCCGGAACATCAAAGGTCAGCGGCCGAGGAATTTTGCAGAGCCGCAATTCATGCAGCCTACGTTTGGTGGTATCAGTAATGACCATCGACCCGATGCGATTGTGCAGTCGCCAAAGATCTGGAAGCATAGTATGTATACTCCTCACTGACCCTATTTCGACTTATCGTGTTTTCGTGGCATGGTTGCGGAGATACAGAAAGGCTTTGAGATTTCTACCCGTCGGTAGATTGAATTAGCTCGATAAAGCTATGCCAAGTTTCTGATAGACTCCTGTCGCATCGCTCTTATGAGCGAAGCTCGCCCCATGGCAATCAAAGTGCTAGATCCGCAATTTGCCGCAAGCTGGCACATCGTCAAAGAACAGTTCAGCCATTTTAGGAACTGCTTTGCCGGTGGAATCGCCAAAGGGGGGTATGCACCGCTAACACGTACGTGGAGAGGAATCTCGTTGCTCCTCACCCTCAATTCGATAACCCGGAAACGAACGTACTCACATTCATTGCGTTCGAGCGGTTGAAGCCTGCTGACCTGTTGCAACATTTTCAGTACGTGGCCGATCCCACGTTGCAGCGCTATACATGTACACGAGCGATTCGCCATTCAATCTCGCATGGATGAGTAGCTACACGTCGATAGGATTCCCCGTGGAGCCTGTCAAGCAGCCGAGCGGGATCGGGTCGTTGAACAATAGCTCCCAGACAAGCCAGCTTGGCACGCTTGGCGACAGGTCCGAGCTTGAGGCCGAATTTGAGCGGCAGGTTCTTTCTAGCAAGCCCTTGGGGACCGGGAGGGTGACACTTGAGGATATAAGCTAGGTTATGGGGCATGGTAACAAGATTTTTGAAGCTTCAGAGTGCGCCTGTTGCCCAGATTGTTGTACGTGATTAGCTAGGGCAGTAAAGGGGTGAGAGTACATGCTTACGGGTGAAAAATGTTGTTTTCTCGGCCCCAGTGAGCGGTAGAGTCAACCCCCGCAGTAGTGACCTCGAAGCTATCATGAGCGCCAAGAAGAAAATCTGGCGAAGGATTCAATGCAGCGAAACGTCTCTATCTGTCTGACATCTTCTATTGTGTGTTTAAGGAGGTTCGCGACGTTGCCAGGCGACGCCAGAGTGTGTTTAAGGACTAAATTTTCGTGTTGTATTAAAAGGTAAGATGTACCGCTAGCAAGAATGAATGTCACCACAATAACTCAACATTGGTTTGAACGCCTTTCGTTCGCCAGCCTTTAAAGCCGCATTTTGCCATCGTTATCCTTTCACACTTCCCTATCGAATACTTCCCCAACTTCCTTAAATTTCTCACCATTCTTCCTTCTTCAGGCTCAGAGATCAAGAGATGACGACCCTACGGACCTCTCTCCAAGCAAACTATAACAACACCCTCCATCTCAAAGCCATGCCTCGCCCTCGCCGAAGCCGTACAAATGGCCATGCCCGTCCCAACGGTCTTTGCATCCACATCATTACCTACGGCAACTCACGCGGTCGCCCCCCAATCCCCATGCCCAAGCTCATGCATCTCGACTGTTCCCGTGCCCAAGCGCCACCAGAGCATCTCCAGCTCAATCGCACAGGAGTCGACCGAGAAGTTTTCGACTACTTCTTTTCGAATCCAGTACACGAAAGGATTTTCCAGAAGGCCTTGGATCACCTCGAGGTAAGGATCCTAAACGGACCATATCAGCGAGGGGGGTGTGCAGCAGTTGTGTTGAACTGCGTGGCGGGTATGTACAAAGATTTCTTGAAATACCCCAACCTTTCCCAAAACTTGTCCTATGAGCTAGATTGTATCCTGGTCAGGAAAAAGCGCGCTGATTCGGAAATCTGCGTAGGCAAGCATCGGAGCGTAGCGATGGCAGAGCGGCTGGCGGACGAGATAGAACGGTGGGATCGCGTCATTGTGCAGCGGGAACATTTGGATACGGATGTGGAGAGCGGCCTTCGACGGCGGCCAAGGATCGAGGCAGGAACACACAAATAGTAGTGGCGATATCGAAGTGTGTGGGGAGTAGCAGCGACAGGAATTCTCGTTCTCAAGTCTCAATGTGTTCGTCATCTGCTTCTTCGTCCACCTCCTTACTCTTTGCAACACTATCGTGACGAAACCAGCAGGGTTTACATGCTGCAAACGAGGGGTTGATGCTTCATGCAAGCGGTAAGCCTTATGCCGCGGACCCACCTTTGGACGTTCCGACCAATGAGGGGCGGACTCCACTGATATACGCTTGCCAAAGTGGTGAACAATTACTGGCGAAGAAACTCATAAATCACGGTGCAAACATTCAGGCGGTCGACAAACTTGGGTTAACGCCTTTGCACTGGGCAGCGTATTGTGGAAAGGCCGAGATGATTTCTCCGTTACTTGCTAACGGCGCTGCGCTTGAAGCGCAAACCCCAGAATCACTGAGTCGTACACCACTCCACCAAGCTGTTCGTAGTCTATCTGACTCCTCTGATACTGTTGAACAACTGTTACTGGCCGGTGCAGACAAGGAAGCTAGAAGTCAGTATTGCTGGCGAACGCCTTTACAATTGGCTGTCAAGAGCAATAACAAGGCTTGCGTCACTCATCTTCTGAAACCTGGTGCTAACATCGATGCTTCGGATACAGATGGGTATACATCTCTTCACGATGCCGCGCGGCGAGGCCAGCTTGAGATTGTAGAGGCGCTTCTTGATCACGGCGCCAATCCTACAATTAAGACAAGCAGGTTACTGGGTACAAAACCTTCGGGTGTCGCTAAGGATAGTGACGTACCGACAGCTCAAAAGGAAAAGATCAGGACGCTGCTCAAGGAAGCCGAGAAGGCCTGGAAACGGTCTGGTAGAAAGGAGGAGCGCCACTTATGGATACGTTGACGTGGGATATGTTCATCAATCTCGCTGCGCTTGGATGGTACATGCTATTGTCCCAAGTCTTTGTTGGATTGCTCACAGGAGATTTCATATATTACAACGTACCTGTATCGATCGCAATCCCATACGAGCGCGTCAATGATACTGTACTCTAATTCTTATAGCCTTTTTCTGTCCTTTGTATGGATCTATGATGTATCCTCGTTAGTTCTCAGATTCGCTTCTGGTGTACTTGACTTGTAGGCAATTGTGCTAACTCAATTCAACTTCTCGCCATTTACTTCTTTCAGTCTTTTACCTCGCCCAGTTTTCCTCAAAAACATATCACAGCACATGACTTCAACGTTCCATTCGATGATGAGACCGATCTGTGCTGCGGATCTAGGAGCGTTGGTAGCAAAAGTAATCGAACGAGCCACGGCGTCAGGGGTCACACCATCTTCCCTGTTTCTTAGTAACCTCTCCATGTTTCGGAAAACCCGGCTCTCAAAAATCAGCATCTAGGCCATCCATCTTTACACCTTATACATGGTGGTCTGCGACCAGAAAGGATGGTCTCTCCTTTGGATAAGATTCAGCCCCATCGTCGATATGGTCTAACCAAAAAGACCATTAGCTCCTTGGCATCTCGCTCGGCGTTCGGACTTCTGCAGTCTGCTTTACTCGGCATTCGCTCAGTGTTTGGCTCAGCCTGGCAGTCGTGCCATTCTCCGCAATACACTGATGACAGACCGTCAGATGGAGGCAAAGAGCCAATTGGTACTAGGTAGATTTATCAGCTTATGCGCAAAGCTCGCTCGATCGCTTCTTTGCACTTCGTGACAAGAGTGCGAGAGTCCGTGGTACTCGTATTCACTAGGAGTTGCAATCTACTAGGATTTGCAATCTCCAAAACCTAATTCTTATAAATTATTTATTCACAATGATAGAATTAAAAACAAGAAAAAAAAGTTGAAAGAGCGTACAATATAGTTATTTACTTCCTTTGAATTTCTAGAATCGGGTTTGTATTGATAAAGTTATGTAATAGTGTATATAAGTTAATAATTATTACCTCAATTTTAAGGATTCTTAAGCTATGAAGATCAAGTTTTAGAGATTGCACATCCTAGTGAATACGAGAGTATGCGTGAGTACTAAAAGCCAGCCACGATACCCTTTCCCCGCAGCTCTGTTATATATAGGTGGATCAACAATCCCTTCTGTCGCAGGCTCAGCAAGAGAATCTCAATCATGGCTGCAAAGAAAATTCTTGTCGTCTTTGGTGCCACCGGCAACCAAGGCGGTTCTGTTATCAAATCCATCCTGAGCGACCCCAAGACCGCCGGCGAGTTCAAGATTCGCGCCATCACTCGCGACCCATCAAAGCCCAATGCGCAAGCTTTGACAGCCAAGGGTGTCGAGTGTGTCGCTGCCGACATGAATTCCGAGCATCAGATCAAATCCGCGCTACAAGGCGCTCATGCCGTCTTCGCGGTGACGAACTATTGGGAGAAGATGGATGCTGAGCTGGAGATGAAACAGGGTCGGAACATCGGGAACCTCGCAAAGGTCAGCCCACCCGCGTTATCCTCGTCAACGTTGCTACTGACAAAATGCGGAAAAGGAGTGCGGCGTGCAACATCTGATCTGGTCGTCGCTCTACGACGTCGCCAAGCTGACAGGCGGCAAGTTCCCCAACGTGGAGCACTTCGATTCCAAGGCCGCTGTAGAGCAACACATCCGCGACATTGGCGTTCCGGCCACTTTCCTCATGCCAGGCTTCTTTATGTCGAACATCCCTGGTGGTGCTTTCCGTCAACTCCCGCCATCAAACCACTGGACCTTAGCACTACCTATGCCTGCCGATACACCAATCCCATGCTTCGACGCTGGTAGTGACACGGGCAAATTCGTCAAAGGGATACTCACACATCGCGAGAAGGTACTCGGAAAGAGAGTCCTCGCTGCGACGGATTATAGCACTCCCTCGGATGCCATAAATATCTTCAAGGAGTTGTTCCCCAAGGCTGGCGAAAACGCGAAATTCGTGCAGATGTCCAAGGACGACTACAAGGGCGCCCTCGCTCATGCTGGTATGCCGGAGAAGATTCAGCAAGAGCTTTATGAGAACATGGCTTTCATGAACGAATACGGATACTATGGGAAATCCAGTCTGGCTGAAAGCCATGAGGTAAGTCTGTCATTTATTTTCCGTCGAGACATGAAATCTCCGTGCTCCATGTTTCTGCGTTAGCTAATACCTCCGTTCTAGATCTTGGATGAGAAACTTACAACGCTGAAAGAATTCTTTGCTGGAGCCAAGGCTTTTGAGGGTCTCGAGTAGCTGCGGTGAGAAACAAGCAGTCCAAGCAAGCATTTCTGCAACATTTAACAAGTATTGCTATCCAAAGCAAGAACAACGGTCATTTCTATCAACCATCCAGAAACTGTTCAAGACATTCACTAAAGTGTTCTGACTACTTTTGATGTGACATGTATTTCCTCCAAGTCATTATCGAGGCGTGTTATAAGACTCATGTCACAGGCTTCCTTTCCGTGGCCAAGATCAGCTAAACTCAGACCAATTTTCTCATCCTAACGACCTCTCTTATCCAAACGGCTCGCTACCATGTGCCGAGCGCGCTCAACCTCAGTGATTTACCCTCTCCTGTCAAGCCGAAAAGCCGGGGGCGTCTCTTGCACCCGTGATCACATTGAGTCCCATCTGACGGTAAATCCTGAAGTCTAACCCTGAATCAGTCCAGCCCGGTCCAACCCCCCAGGGAACCACGCACACGTACAGACTCGCCCGCGAGCTTTCGGGCAAGGAGCCAAAACCAAGGGATCTCTTCCTCCGGCCGCATCCACATGACCCAGGTAACAGAGGGATCTCCAGGCGCCCGGAGAAACACTTTCGTACCCTCACGACGCGTCTGCAAAGCGAAGCATCCACCAATCAGCCCCTCCAGCTCGAGAAGCCTTGGGAAGAGACCCACCACAAGCCACTCGCGCTCATCGTGCTTATCAACGAAGAAGAATTCAACCTCCCCACTCGCGTCGCACATCTCGTCGTACCCCCTGCCATCGATGACACTGACGCCGCGGACTATCACCACCTTTTCTTCCACTTCGCCCGGCTGTTCGTCCCCTGAGATCGACTGTAGGTGATAGATCTTTGGCGGATCGAACATTCTGCAAGGGCGATCATCCAGGTAGACGATATCGCCGGATTGGATCTCCTGGATAGGCTCCTTCGCGTTCGGGCGGGCGGTTTCGTTCCTACGGATCAAGTCTGCCATCTGCATCTCTCCCGTCACGTCATCCTTCGTCGCCCCGTCAAGGAGTAGGGGAATCCGGCGCGGGGTTTGATACCTTTCCAGGGGTGCTGACGTCAAAGCTTGGATTGATCATCATAGCCATAATGCCCATCATCAGACGAAAGTGTCAAGGCTAGAGTACCGCTGCGTGAACGTACTACTCCAAATCCTTCTCGAACTGGGGTCAGCCGGATGGTAATCTTTGGGGTGAGAAAGCTGGGCACTTCCCCCGCACCTGCCGAAACACTCCGCGTTTTTCGTGCCGGGAAAGAAACGTGCTTCTTCCTAAGACTGGATAGCGCATGGACGGGGTACAAGCGAATATCTTGTCGCCATGCCAATCGGGTTCTTTCCGGAATCGGAAGACAAGAGAAGAGAGTCCGTATCGCGTTCGAGCTGTTCTCGTGGATTGAAGCGCGGTAAACTCGTTATATGGTGCTCCCGCTCCCTGGAATGCTTCGGAATGCTAGTTTAGTGATAGGTCGTGATAGGACATATTGGCCTTGATGGTTGTTGTGGTCACCCTGAGTTGATTTGAGTTCTTGAAGGGCATTACCAGACGGCCGCCCCCGTTTACTACACCTATACCCTCCATTTGACCTCTGTACATCCCCTTAGACAAAGCATAACGTGCGGCCCACACGCGAGTCTCGAGCACAATTCCGGGTACGTCTTCCGGGTGTTTTTCTACCACGCACAGAGCGTATCCCTCGCGAACAGGATGACCCCTTCCTTGAGACGGCCCCTTCTGTACAGTAAAAACTCGTCCTACACTCTTTCCGTCCGCGGGAACTCAAAAAGGCTCGCTCTCGGGGGGTTCGGAGTACGTCGACTTACGAGAAACGTACCTTGTGCCGCGATGCTGGACTACCTCGAAGCGTGCCTTAGTTGAGATTATCTCAAAGCTGCCTGGGCTAACCGGGCTCGGAGGAAAGGGGGTATTTGTAGCTGTTTAGGGGATGAAAATGTTGCGAAAGGGGGGGGAGTCTTCTAGGTATAAGCGGCTAAGTCACACGAATGTTAGTATCTGTCAGAAATGAGGAAGCTTGCTGCAACGCAGTGGTGAAGGCAATCACACCATGGCTTACTTCGATCAGCATCCCAATCGAAATGGTCAGCAGAGTGATCCTCGGACCTGGTATCAAGCTGTAACTTCGGTGCCGGGGACCTCGGGAGGCGGTGATGGAACCGCAAGCATATCCACATATTTGCATAGTTTGCAGTGAGCGGTGCTAGGCTCGCTTTAAAAGTCGTCGCTACTGGTATGAGTCTCTACGGAGTAGCGGGTCTAATCTTGCGACAGGACTTACTTTTCTGGCTAGCCGAGAAGATGGGCTGTCAATTGGAGCTTTGGGTAAAGACAGGCGAGGAAACCCCCCGAAATGCTATTCCTTGCGACAAGCCCAATCACAGAAAGCCGTCCCCACACCATTTCCGTCCGCGATGTTGAATCGCCCAACAAGCCCACAGCCCCATCATGCGAAATTCGACAACGTCTCCGTAACCGTCGTCGCAGACTGGCCCTCAACGATGCGGAAATCCACCCCCTTGTAAAACTCAAACCACGTCGCAGACTTATAGCACGGGTAAGCCGAAACGTCGCTCTTCGCCAGCTGCGCGACCCAGGCTTCCTTGTCCGCGACGGACCCACCGTTGGCGGCGCCGGTTTCGCCGACGCAGAAGTGCTTGTTGTATTGCTGGGCGAACCCGTCGTAGAAGGCGCCGTAAGCGCTGGCGAAAGTGGCGCCGGGGTTGGGGTAGACGTCCATGCCGACGATGTCGACGTAGTCGGCACCGGGCCACCAGCCGTTGAGGTTGGCGACCGAGTCTTCGTTTGGGGACCAGAACATGAGGATTTTGGGGTTGCTGGCGACGGCGGCGTGGACTCTTTGCCAGGCTGCGATGAACTCCGCTTGCGCTGTCGTGCGGGTTAGAGCATCTGGCGGGAGAGGAAAGGGGCATTGGGGTTTTGCTTACTGCCTCCAGGATATCTAGGCCCGCTGGGGCCGCTGGCTTGAGTGACGTAGTAATTCACCTCGTGTGCAAAGCGAAGCCACACTTCTACACCTTGCGATGTGAACTTTTCCAATACGGTGGCAATCTGATTCGCGACGTCTGTCGAGATGTCTGCAAATTTGAGTCCGGTTGGCATAATGGCTGGAATGAAGACTGCGCCCGACGCAACGACATCGGACATGACGCTGGTCAGCTGATCGCCTGTGTATGGCACAGAACTGATTTGAGAGTAGCGTCCGTAACTTGATCTCGTGAGTTTTCGGACAAGCGCATGCCACAGGTCGGAGGACCAACTTACGTGCTTGCTTTTTTGCCAGAATCTCCGTTGATATGGCTCATTGTGGTGCCGGCGACATCGTCGGGCAAGAAGCCCCAGTAGATGCCATTATAGCCATGCATGCCACCAGAAGGGAAGTTCAGGTCATTTGTAGTGCATGTGTCCTTTAATAATATCAGATAGAGGCCTCCAGAATAAGAAGACAAGGGAAGACTTACTCTTCCTTCCAAGAATGGCGCGCAACTGGCGAGCTGGGCGAGTGCCACGATGGTAGAGACTAGTTGAAGATGCATGTTGGTATAGTCGTGTGGATACAGATACTAGTATGTTGGATCCAGTGGAAAGAGGAGGATGGTTGGGAGTTTTGCTTTATGGTCTCGACATGATGTTCTTGGTGCTGGGAATTCAGCACTTCTTGTACTCAGCTCATTGACAGCTCAGCTCGAAGTTTTCATTAATCCCTCATCGTTGACACCACCTTGAGAAAGGACGAGCCATGAGCCTTGGAAATAATAGCCCAATAAAGGCTCTTTTGCGAGCGGATATGCAAGGCTGCAGCATAAGGGATCGTCGGTGACGCCTTGGTGTGATGCATGAGGCTATGAATTTGCAGGTGATCGGAACCCATCTAGAGCTTGTCTGATAGCGCTTCAGACCAACTCAGCCAATGATCAATGCCATAGCGACAGCGTCTGGCCTCAGGTCTATCTCGCGAGCTATGTCGCTCGCTAGCTATGTCGATTACTTGACATAGGTGAGGGTCGCAGGGTTTTGCTTCGACGCCCGCTAAGTAGGGTGATATCGGATGGACAGTGCCGTGCTGACTGGAGTGGCATGTTTCTGTCTTCGGCCCATTTGCGTCGTCTATGGGAGTCGAAGACGGGCTGCGCCGTTCAGTTCTTAGCCTTTCAAGGGAGTATCATTAAAAGGTGGGGACCAATCCTTCATCAGCATTGTGCTGAATGGTTACCCGGATTATGTATTGTTTTCAGCCCGATATGCGTGTTATTGCGAAAAAAGCGAGCCGACGAGGGCCCAACGCGTTGGCTCCACAATCCTATCGCGCATCATTACCCGCCTGGACAGATCCTGGACTGCTATCAGCAAGACTCTCATGTAGAATTAGATGGTGTCCAGTTTGAGCCTACAGATATTCCCTTATGCAAGCTGTGCCCAGCTTACGCCCGACGGAAAACTTGGACAGGCTGCACGCAAAGGGAAGAACTGCCGCCTCGAGCCTGCTCCAGTCATTGACGCATGGCCTGAATTGTTGGACCTACTGACTCGAGGCTGGTTGAGCGCACGCGGGTAAGGTACCATCTCCGAGTAAATGCGGGATTTTGTGCCAGGCTGAGCAGAGAATCGAATAGAGCTAGAAGGTCTGTTTCCGGAACAATGATACAGCTGCGCCCTCAGATGGAACTCGAAGTGGACGTTAGGACTCGCTTGATCCTCAGCCCCCCACATACGGCTAACCAGGTCTCTAACTCGGTCTCACTGTAATATTCATGTATAGTCGAAAGGCTTTGACCTTCCTTTCACAGTGAGGCTCAGACAAGCAATGTTCAAGGAAGGTGTTGTTGATCTTTGAGCTATCTGACCACGTGTTTCAAACCCCACATGGCTCGGGAAGAGGGTGGAAGAAAGGTGGATATAAATCTGCGCTCTGGCTTCACGAAGCCCAAAGACAAGTCTGCACACTAGGCGAGACATGGAATACGTCAGGTGGTCCCAGCCTGCCCAGACATGATCCAGCTCAAATCTTGTTCAGGGGCAAATTATGCACCGGCGGAGGCAGCGGCGTCCTGCAAGTTCGATGTTTGGAATTAGCTTGGGATTCAACCTGTAGGTCTTTGGATCGTTTCAGAGCTTGTCTGATTGCAGCTCATATCAACCCAGCCAATGACACATGCCGTCCGTTCCAATCGATCAAATCTGAAGATTGATCACTTGGTACGGACCCACCCTGGCTAACCGTGGAAGACTATGCGTTTGTAGGCTCAAATCACCCATCGACCATTCTCGCGTATTGCTGCGAGGCTGCAGAAATCTCCGGTGGTATGCATGAATTCTTATCACGCTAAGACGAGTAGCAGATCAATCGAAGCCGCGAAAGGGCGGTGCGGCATGCAAGGGCCCCGCACCTCGAGAGGGCGCAGGGGAGTAAGCACTTCGGATGCATGTAAGACGGATCAGCAGATCCCAAAGAGATGGGAACCAATCCCGCGGGCCGAACGGCCCCACGGTTACTGCACGCAACAGCAACTTGTGCGCTGGAGTAATTCCTTGATAAGCTAGCCGCCTGTAGTAGACGAAAGCGAGGTTGTATGCGCACCGCCTTCATAATACTTGAGACTGTTCTTAATGCACGTCGCTCGATTCTAACCACGAAGGCTCCGACACTTTTGCACTCAAGTGTGCATACCACTTGGATTGCATTGGCTTTCTAAGCTTCCATAAGGCGTGGTCTGACCAGTGTGGTTATTTGTTTAGCGGTTTATGCGCTTTTATGATGAGCTAGTGAAGGCCGTAACTGATGTTTCGGTCGTAGCCCTCCTTCTCGGAAATGGCTTTTCTCGTAGGATTTGGGATTCGCTTGGGAAGGTTGCTTGAGAGAAATAACTTGCGCCCTCCCATGCGGGGTCATCATGTCGCTGAGAAGAGCACTCCCTCGTAAGTACGAATCTTCGCCGAGTAACAGTGCATGACTTCATTCCAGGCGGAGGATCTTGATTTTTTCTCCACAGGCCAGAGAGTAGACGTCCAATGTCGCCGAGCGGTAAGTCAGGCTCCATGGTATCTGTAAAAAGCTCGTGCTAGCTCTGACTGGCACAGATTTCTCAGATGAGAGCGACCATAACCTGTCGCTTCACATTTGAAGGTTCTCTAAGATTTTCTTGAGACAACATACCTGGGTCACCACAACTACTTCCCATCTGTACCGCTCCTTACCGCGCATCATTTTCCGCCTGGTTCCCTCATCATACACTTCTCAGACGCAATTCCAGTCCCACCATAGGGTCTCATATCAATCAAAATGTCATCAACCTGCTTGAACCCATGTTTGAGATACAGCGGCATCCCTACTGCCGAGGACTCAAGGTATACTCTGGCGCCCACTTCATCCGCCATCGCAAGGCCTCCGCGGATAAGCAGAGAGCCGAGGCCGAGCCGCTGATGGCTGGGCGAAACTGCAAGACCTAGAAGGACTATCATAATAATGGTCAATGGTGTGGGATCTTTGATGCTGAGGTCCGAAGGACATGAGAGGTCAGGACCCACCATAGTCCTTGCTATCATCAACCCACTTCTCTTGAAGCTTATTGAGAGCTGCAGAGAACGCTTCCTCAAGCTCCTTGTTGTATCCCTCGGGCCTTGCTAGCTTCGCTTCTTGCAATTTCTCCTTTTCCGCTTGTTGCTCTACGCTCAGACTATAAGGAATTTGCCACCTCGCGACAGCGACTATTTCTCTGTTATCTGTTAGCATCCGAACCCTATGTGAATGATCCTTGAAGCCTGGTAGCGCTTCAAGCCAACATGTCAAATGATTATCGTGCGTCCCTATGTGAAGAGCAGATGTTACCCACCTCGTTTCATCGTCGACGACCTTGAAGACTTTGAGCCCATTGAGGGAGCTCGTCTGTAACCTCCGCTGGTACTGTTGGCATTGATATGCATGCATGATGTCTGGCGGAACATTTTTTGCATAGAACCCAACAATGGGATCATCTTTGAATGCAGCGAGGGAGAGAGTAGTAAGAACGGGGCAATCTGCAAGATTGGCAGCATGCACTGAGAACTTCATCTTAAAAAGAATGGAGGGACTGTTACCGACTCAGGCGAAGGGAAGAAACCGCATGCTGAAAGCTGATGAGACGGGTTACAGCTCGGCAGGGGTGAAAAAAGTTCGGCAGGGGTGAAGCTTCGGCATATGCTCGCTTCACCCCGGATGAACTCATAGCATATGCTGAACGTATCCGTTTCACCCGAACGAACTCGGGCCGGGTCGAAAAAACTATGGCCACTTTATCCGAGTTATCGCATATGCTAAGTATACCTATGCCAAGTTCAAACCTATTATTAGCAGCAGCCCCCCACGAAGTCCTTGTGACGCCCCTACGGGGCCCTATTTAGGTCTAAATAGGGGTGTCTGGCTATCAAGCGCAGACCCACCCCCGAGACCAGGCTCTTTTAGCTGAGTTGCTAACACCTCTTTATTAGGCCAGGTTTTCACTAAAGTATAGTATAAAATTAGGGTGAGCTGAGAAATACGGTGGTCGAGTTGTGCATATACTAAGCATCAGCATCGTGAATTCTCATTTAAGAACTCTTTGTGCGATGTAGATTATCTTTTTCGTGGACATACGTAAAAATAGCGAGACAACACTAGTTGCATGCCAAGAAATTGTTAGTCACGAGCCGAGTACCTCCTCCTATTCGTCAATCAAGACCAGGGTAGCCTGCAAGGATTTTTCTAGCATATTTCGAGTGCAATCCTTTTGGTCTCTAATCATGGTTTTTACTTCAGGCAACACACGCTATCGTGCACATTATCTTCTGGCTACCAGCAAGAAGAGGTGCATTACTTAGATCTACTCCCCCTACCGAACTTTTTCATCCACACCCCTGTTCCGAGCTGATAAGCCCGAGCTGAGACTACCACCATACCACCGCTAGCTGCATGCCAAGAAATTGTTAGTCACGGGCCGAGTACCTCCTCCTATTCGTCAATGAAGACCAGTAGCCTAGAACAAGGATTTCGAGTGCGTTCTTTTGTTCTCTAATCATGGTTTTTACTTCAGGCAACACTACGCTATCGCTGCCATCATATATCTTGTGGCTACCAAAGATCTATAAGCCCATCATGATAATCTGTTCCACACCTGTAGCTATGGGAAGCTGTTGGGGCCAAGAGTCTGAGAGTCACCTGTCTCCACGCACGCGTTGGACCATCGTAGGTCCAAATAGGGGTGTCTGACTGTCAAGCGAAGACATGCATTATTAGCAACTCTGTTAAAATACCAGGTATGTGCTTATAAACGGACGGATTGATTCTCCAAAACCGACCCGGGCAGATCAAAAATCTAGGTGGCTGCATATGCATACGTGGGCTAAAAGTTTCCGCGCCAGAAAGGTACTCGAAGATGACTGTCATCTGGCATTGAATACGGTCGGAGATATTTCCTTTTTTCTATAGTCGGATGGCCCAGGTCGCGAATTTTCTCCTTTGCGATTTTTATCATTGAATTGGCAAAGTAATGGCAAATTACTAAATCATACCCCTAGGGGAAGAATTAAAAAATAAGGGGATGATTCGGTAAGGATTCATAGTCTCGGGGTATGAATTAGTAATTAGCCCTACTCGAAAACGACTGCATCTGGCTTTCGGCAGGGAATCGGGCGACATGGAGAAGGGCGTTATGGAAAGTGAGAAAGACGTCGTTGATGTCTACTTTGGCGGCACCAGCAATGCTTTCAAAGCTGACGGCACGACTTCGTGAGGGTGGAAGTATGATTGAAACCAAGAGGTGGGAGAACCCAAGTGGTGCTACATTGCTGTCTGTTACATTACCGACTAGCGCGTTAGGTGGGGCAGTGTCCTCGCCGCTGCCTGTTAGGTTCGTTTGTGCGAGGTCTTCTCCGAGGACCTGAGTCAGGTTGCCGGTGCCACCTGCTAAGCTCAAAGCCTGCTTCACTGCAACTTTGAGCCTCCCGACCAGTTTGTCTTCCGAAAAGAGGTCCAACATGACATATGCTTCCAGCCACGTTGGGACGACGGGTGCAGCATACGATGTCGTCAGAACCATTGCGCGCTTCTTTATCGATTAAACAAGTAACTACACAAGTAGATGAATTTTTGTACCCGCTTTAACAGAATGTTTCTGCATGGCCGCTTTTCGATTCTGGCGCTCGCACCTTGCTTCGATCTGACGGACACATGGGATGCCTCAAGATCATTGACTGTGTCGGCTCAGAGCCGCAGCAGACGATTACGCTTTGAGATCTTATTCAAGAATTTGAAAGCTTTCAATATCATTGATATACATGCTCTGAAGGTTGAGTGCTTTTCAATGAATCCTCGGGGATCCGACTAGCAACCATCCGCGAAAGAATAACAAAAAAACACTGTGCGTCCAAACCTCGCTTCAGCGTTTCACAAATCAGCTTTTCTCATCCTTCCATTCGTCACCATTTCAAACCCAGAACCCTCCCAATTCAAACACGACTCGCTACGGCAGAGCGGGAGGCAGAACATCGCCAATGCTGCCCAGCCCCATCCCAACACGGGCAAGCAGCTGTGTGTTAATGATATCGTAACGGTGCAAATAAAGCAAAGCGTAAGCGCTTCTAATCGGATCATCCCCAGAAAGGGCGCAGCTCTCTATCATTTCCAGCGACCTTCCATCCCCCAAGAGATGACTCGCCATGTAGATGCTCGCGGCCGCAACACTACGAACGAAGCGATCATCATTTTCACGTTCAATCATTTCGAATGCGAAAATGTCGTGAATATGATTCGCGATCCATCGAGCCATGCCAGCGATCTCAGGCATGTGGTTCAAGCCAAGCTGCGCAGAGAGGCCCACGCATCGATTCACCAGCACGGTGTGGATCCTCATATGTTCGGCGTCGTTGGGCTGTGGGATTGGCGGACGTTGGACCCGGCGGAATAGCACGTGTCGGCAGACGGGGCAGGTGTTGTTGCCGGCACCGCCCTGTGCCCGAGGGGAGAGCCAGGTCGAGATGCATTCCGAGCCCATGATGTGGTTGCATGGCAGTATCACCGCGCGTTCGATGGTGCCGTTTTCCGAGGGCGTGGTGCCGTAGTCTTCCATGCAGATGAAGCATCGCTGGTCTCCCTTCTCCAACACGCCCCTGCGGACGTAACGGAGCTGGGCGAGAAATTCTTCGGCCATGGCGGATGGGTGGTCGGATGGGTGAATTGGCTTTGGAAATTTGCGTTTGAGAAGTTGGTATCCGGTTGAACAGAGGCAGGAATGACTCCGCTGATATACTTCGACAAAGAGAACAAATATGCAAGCCAGGAGTGCATACACGTGTCACGCAATGTGTCAAAGGCTTGTCTGAAAGTGTTGTGACTGACTCGGCCTTTGTGTTCAAATCTGCATTGTTCGGCTCTCGAACACTTCTGTGAACAATGGCAATCACGTCAACACAATGACATTTCTACATGGGTTGGGTCACACTCAAATTCCTCCTTTTGTTAAAAATTGTCAACACCATCCCTAAGTTGTTGAGGGCACGATTCCGCTACCTCAGGATCATATTTCTGATAGTGTCTTGAGGCCGAATAGCAAGCTTTGCATGCCATAGACACCGGCTCAACTTCAGACTTCATTGCTATTGCTTTTTGCGAAGGTAACATCCTGTTCGTGTTGCTAAGAGCATCGTCGCTATTACTAGCGTCGGATTAGGGCAAACGTTAGGCAAGCTGTCAAGTGCTTCTTCGCGCGCACGCCTATCTAATCTTCATACATTGTATTTGCCATGCCGTCGCCGCCGAAGAGTAGAGCCCGCCGCCGTTCGTCAAGTATATGTATCATGTATACGATCCTCGATGCTGCAGACTGCAGCTTGGGAAACGGGCCCGGATGGGTTGCGGGAAGTTGCGTTTTGAGGGGGACGCAACGGAAGGGATTACAGCGTAGGGGTCTGATAAGCCAACACGGTTGGCGAGAGGAATCGATTTCGTTCTGTGAGGTAGCGTGGCTTGGGTTGGTTCAGTGGAGAGAGATGTATGTTGGACTGTTTACTGGCCTGATTTTGATGTGTCGCCGAGAGCGAGGGTCGATCTTGTACTGGCGAGGCTCTGGTATCGAGCAAATGGAAGACCTCGTTGGCAGATCTTTAGAAGGGATATGACTTCCGGTTCGATGTACTCATGTATCCCATCGTCTGGCAGGGGGTAAAATTCAGGGGTTCCGACCGAACATCAAAAAACACCCCCATAGCATGTTAGTGTAATTCAATGACGCCTGCTTTCACAACAAAATACTTAGTGTCGCGATTAATCTTTATAAGTAGATCTAAGATTCTATAATAGAAAATAAGTCTGTGATTCTTGTCGTTCAAAAGTCGTTGTGTGATGAACATACAGATATTTGATGTTCTGCCAAGACATTTTACCCCCCAGGCGCCAGACGATGGGATACCTATGAGGCTTAAAATGTGAGGCTGAGAGGGTTCTTAGCTATTACAGTGATGTGGGTAACAAGCTACGGCCTACCAGCAATCTTACCTAACCACTCAGATAAGATTGAACCCGAAGCTCACTGGGAGGCTCTGCTATATGGCGTCATTCGTAAGTCAAAACCGTGAATAAACTCACTATCCAAACCTTCCCTTCAACGGACGGAGCAATCTCGCCAGATCATCAACGGAACCTCCTTCAACATGCCAGAAGCAAATCCCCACTCTTCTCCAAATGTCTTGCTTTTTCATTCTCAGACCACTGCGGACACTGCCCTCTCGTACAATGACTAGCGCAATTTCCATAGATTCAATATGCTTAGTGCGTCCGAGGTAAAGTACGCTAGGCGTCATGTCGCTGTGCCTCGTTACTATGGCCTCCCCGATGGCCTGTAGGGTGTCTGCTGCGCGAGTCAGTTCGGGAACTCTACATGCGATTATCGGTTCTGCTCGGTCATCCAGCACGGTGGTGTCCGGAGGCCATTCGAATGACATGGCTTGACTACAGTCCATCATCACGCCTTGCTTTGCTCGTTTGAATAACCGATCCATGTACCCTCCATTCCTAAAATAGGCGTTGCGCGCCTTCAACTCACCGGGAGCGTCGCTCGCCTTGTCCAGCCACGTCAACATCTCTTGGCTTCTTGATTTCCAGAAAGCCAAAAGCTCGCGTAGAGTAAATGCTGTGCCTTCGAAGTAAGCCTCGCTCTTTTTGTGGACCGAGATGGTGCAGGCTGAAGATAGGAATTGCTCATGCACGATTACATTGTGAAAGCGCTCAGGCACACGGATGTGGTTGATAATGCACCAGCTCTGCCCTGCTTCAGGTACTTTCAGATGCTGGAAAGCCTGACTGAGTAGAGCAGACCGGGAGGTCAGGGTTGTAAGGAACTGCAGTTCCAGATCTTCGAGGCCAAAGTGTCGCATCCTCGGAATTGAAGTCACGGAGTTGCCGAGTCTATAGCCATAAACCTGCATGATAGCGTAAATGCGATCTACAGGCCGAGAGGTTTTTCTAAACCTGGCTGCAGCGTACTGGATGTTTGGGTTTGGGCAGAGCATAAAGTCTATGCCTGACTCATCAATGATCGTGCGTAGCGACTGAAGCCTTTCCGACTGCAGCGAGAGCCTACCGTCGTGAACTGCACCTGACTCCGCTTGCATAGCCTGATCGGTTAAACTTCTTGCAATGCCGCAAGCACCGGAGATGTCCATTAGTTCGCAAAAGGCACTTTGGCCAGTCCACGGTCCATTGGTTGCGACAGGCTCACCCCTTTTATTCAACAGTATGGCATGTCTTTGCAATACCGACTCCTGTAATGTCCACAGTGAAGAAAACCAAGGATCTTGAAGGATACGGGATATGCTACTAAGCATCCTTTCTGCTGCCTGTAGTGGGTCAACATTTCCTTGGGCATATTCGTAACCGCAACGCATCAGAACCTGCATGTGTTGGTTGAGGGTTTCCGGCTCATGTTTGTTCAGCCAGACATATGCTTGTCGAGCACCTTTGAAAATGATAGCCTGTCGCCCAACTTCTTCCATCTTTTCTTTCTCCCGTTTTTGATCAATGCAAGCTATGTCTATCCAAACATACTTATCTTTGAGCATGACCTGCTCCAGGAGACGGTTCAGGTCGGCAACGGTGAAATGATTTACATTGATTGATGGTACCTGCCAGTCGATGCCCTTGATCTTGAGTCGCGGACCGTTCGGAACTTCGTATCTGCCCCAGGTGTAGGAGAGGATAGCATAACTCGGCTCTGTATCAAGACCATACACATTCCCAGGCTTCCATTCTCTAGAGGTCATGGAGGGAATATGGAGTAGGCGGTGTGGCCAAGCATGAGGTACACCCAGCGTGTAGATATTGTATGCCATCTGGATCAAGCGTACATGATCGGTGACATTGAAGTGTAGGCGGACACAACATCACCAGCTGATTTAGGGCGCAGCGCATCAGACAGTGCATCATGCTTGTGGCAGGGGCACCTCACAAACAAGATGCATTTATCACAAGCTCTATGGTAGTGTAGAGTATGTACTCGTAGTGGCCGAAAGAATTCGCCTTGGTCGTTGAAGTGAGCAAGGGAAAGAAATCTTTTTTAGATCTAGCTACCTCAAGTAAGCTTACATGTACCAAGCCCCAATCGCGCCACACCACACAGCAACCTTACTGCTTAGGTACCTTAGCTCCGGGGTGATTTCCCGATGATGCCGGAGCTAAGGACGCATGTGGCACGATTACTATAAGGTACCTTAGCGTTATCGGTCGCCACCTACACACCGACACAGCCTGATTCCCATGAAATCCGCTTCATTTTCAGCTCATCCAACCGCTATTATTTTGTCAACGATCTACCACAAGTAAAGTGGGGCTATGCAATATTCGCTGGCACCCTCATTACCTATTACTTTTACCTTTCTTTCAACATGAACCAATTCCAAGAATCTTCTCTGCTACATCAAGCCTTCTCCTCATTGCCAGTACAAAGTCAACAACATCTAGCATTGATTCCCCAAGGACAGCAACAAGTCTCTATCAGCGACATGTCCAACGCTTCCCAGACCACCTCTGTCATCAGTGCGTTGGGAACCATAATCGGATATATCGGTTCCGAAGCTGCCACGGAAGATGTCTTTGAGAGGCTTCTTTGGCCCCAACGCTTCTTCAATGCTTTCTCCTGGCAGGACCTTCTTGAGATCGGATTACTCCATCCCATGGGTGGGCCCATGCACAAGGCTGCTCTGAACACTCTCGACAAATTTCATCGCGCTGGCCTATTCAGAGGCCGCAATCTGGGCAACATGTTGGGAACCGCGTTTTTTCATGATACCGGTCTGAAATACAAGATGCATGATCCACCACCAGGCTCAAAGGGCAAGGAATACGTTCGCAATGGTCTATGGGTCCAAGCCGTTGCTCGTATCTCCCTTGTGGTTCAATGTCAGAAAGAGCAAAACCCAGAATCGGGCGTGAAACCACCGAGACTAGTCCGGGCAAGGTCGGTGGTGAATTTCCTGGAGTTGTCATATGTAGATGGAACAACGGACCCGCGAAAGACGGTGAGATATGACACTGGGTCTACTAGCTGTCGAACTCTCCTGGCCATCGTCTGGAGCGAAATCACTGGGCTGGTTGTTGGCGGTTTCGCTGTGGGGTATTGGCGATCATACTTTAGCTTTCTATGGTTCCTCCCTCTGGCATTGAAGCTGTTGAGCGCAATCTTCACGATACAACGAGAAGCTCTCCTTACAAAGCCAACGGAGAAAGAAGCGGATGGAGAAGAAACCAAACGTTTTGAGGTTAACACTCACGGCCACGGTTTCCTCGTCATCGAAGGCAAAGAATCGGCCGTCTTGCAATTCTTCAGACACTACGGTCATCCTATCCGCAATCGCGCGCGCGAAATTGCTCAGATCTCCATCGTCGTTGCATTCGGCCTTGCATTTCCAATAGGCTTGATGTGCTCGCTCATATGGATGCCCGTCGGACTGCAATACGTCTGGCTTGGATACCAACTTTACGCTACTCTGGCCATGTATATCCACCGCTTTACCAAAGCTCATCAATGGGCGAGAACCGAAGCGAGGCTTGCACAGAAGTTTGCCACGGGCAACAATGAAGAGCGTGTCGCGTACCTGCAGGACGAGCGTGGCAATACGGTTATGGGGAAACTGACGAGGATAAACGTTGGTAATTATGGTGAGGGGCAACAGGTACTCAAGGATTTCTTGCATGGGAAACCAAAGGAAATCCGGAAAGGGAAGAGCGACCACGACCTTCACGAATCAGAGAGCTCTGATACATTGAAGAGCACTCCCGAGGACTCTGACGATAGCAATGCCTGATGCAGTGCCTACGACTGAGGGCTATGATACTGCACGTATCGACTGGAAGAGAAATGGAGATTCTTTCACCATCGAGTGGTACCACATCGATCATTTCACACGAGGTCTAAGTATGAATATTCTCTATCATCCGAACTCAGTGACTGTCTTTTTTGTTGACTTAGCAAGCGTCGCGAATAATGTTTGCTTGAGCGTCTGGTTGCAAAAGGAGAAATGTACAGATGATTGAAGGCTATTACAAGCTTGACAGTGACGCAACGTCAAGAGTGTGGCGCGAAGACGTGTCTTTGCTATCATCGTCATGTTGTGAGGAATGTACAGATAGCTGAAAGCTATTACCCGGTTCACAGTGAGACGACTTCAAATATGCTGCACGAAGACATGACATTACGATCATTGCGATGCTGTCACATATATCGTTCCATGCAATGAACACAAGCTCGTGCAAACCCAAAACCCACGGCTCCAGCAACAGTGCATCACGAACACCCGACCATTTTCCTTGCCCACGGCTCTCAATCGGTCCCACTCACCGCACGAGCATCAATCCATGCGCCCGGCGCATCGAACCCTGTCCTGTCAAAAGCATCAGCAGTATCCACTCCACGCCAACCCATCCCCAAACTCCTTCGCGCGCCCAGAGTCCCAAAATGCTCCAGCCCAGATCCATCCCACGATCCACCAACACATCGTTCAGCCTCACCGCGAGCGGTCCGCTGACGAGTCTAGCCCCTGGCGAACCTGACCTGGATGATGGCGATGCTCTTTGGCGCAGCACAAACGATGTTTTGAATTCATTGATGCAGTGCCCCGTAGATAGCGCCCCCACGGGTAGGAGAGGGGAACGCGTCGGAGTGTCTTGCACATTATCATTATCATTATCATTTTGCAGGCTAGCAGGGAGGGAGGGACGGCGGATTGGCAACTCGCCACAGTGGGACTGGGGGTCAGTGGGGTAGGCCCCAGTTTCAGGATCCCTGCAAGGGGGAAGGAGACACCCTGTTTCGCACCTGTCAATGGCTCTCATCTTATTGCATACCATTGCCCCCCCCTCCCTCCACCCAACCGCGCCTGTAGAGTACATAGCTAGCTACCAATTCACTCCAGGTCGATGGGAGTTTTCTGGCGCCGGGGTTCGAGAAGTATGCCTGTTCGGGCTTGCTATCCCCGGCGTGAGAGCGCCCAACCACTTGGTCACATCCTGTGTGCCTCCTGTTTGGATATGTGACGGGTGGTTTTCATGGATGGGATAGCTAAAAGTGCATATTTATGGATGATAATCAATACGCTGGTTCCAAAACCAGGAGATCAGCGCCCACAATCTCCAAACACGCTTCCAGAATCCATCATCGCCCCCACGAATCGCAAACCACTTTGCGCGCGAAGATCTCTCGTCGCATCTCAGCGCCCATGCCATACTGGCTCAAACCAGGCCAGGACTGGGGAAACACGCGTCTAGAAATGCGGATCGGCAACAGCACCAACGAACCGAATATTTCTCATCAGCGCAAGGGCTGCAACCATGAATGTAAGAACAGACTCCGTAAAAGCACGCGCGTCTCTCGGAACCTTGTCAGCGCCGACTTCCAGTCTGGCCATCCGTGCTATACTGGGATGGGTCAGATATACGAAGACACGCGATTTATTGGCTCGTTCGAATCTGGATGAGTGGCCGGCCGGCCGCCTGCGCGTTGAGGTTGTTGGGGTTTGCGCTGTCGGCTGGTTTGCTCTTGATCGGTAGGGGTAAGATCGAGGATACTTACATCGTCCCTAATTCTCTTCTCTTACGGGGAGGACCTCATCATCGAAAATGGAAAAGCGTGAGCTTTCTCTACGCTGCTGCAATACCGATGACGGGGATCGCGAGATCCTAATGCGGTCTCTGACGTCTCTATGTGTATACACAGGGAGATGTGGTGTATGGGAATATCATCACATATTCTAGTCTGCATTGCTAACCAAAAAAGCCTTCGAGATGATGCCATCCATCGTTTTCTGCATCCAAGAGAGGCTAGAGAGGAGAATCAAGACCATCCTTCGACAAATGAGAAATCAGCCAAACACAAATTCCGATTCGATGACAAAATCCAACACCATGAGCCTCTATTTGGAGTATCATCAGTCCGGCATTGAAACGCTCGTTGCCGAACTCACACCGACCAAGGAGAAACACACTCAGATCAACATCTTTACATTGGTCGGCGATTGACTGGGCTCGTTGGTGCTGACGGTCCTCATCTTGTAGATTGATAACGTTCAAGACTTCAAGCTTCGGCGACTGGCTTTTGAAACCGGTACCGCGATCTAGGGCATTCATTTGGACCGATGGAATTGAGCAATGGTACATCCTCCAGGCCGACTTGAGTATCGTCCTTGCGTATTCCGAGCCGTCAACTTCTTCCCAAGCACCTTGGAGAGTAGGGAACGGGCAGGCCTTCCCTGATAGGTATGCCCAAGTGTTACCTCCCCGACGAGTTTGGACAAGCGCTCATCCTGAAATCTCCAGTACTCGCACAACTGTTCGTACATGCGGAACCGGCGAGCCCCGGTAGACGGGCGAATTACTAATTCATACCCCGAAAGTACGAATCCTTACCGAATCATACCCCTAATTACCGAATCATACCCCTCCACCAAAATCCACCCAAATATAGGATATAATTCGATAATTTACTATTACTTAGAATATAATTTAATAAGAATTTTTACTTATCATAGTGATCTACTTAAGTTATCTACTTATAAATATATTTAAATATCTATATCTATACTAGTTATTAGAAATATAATCTAAATACTTATAACTATATAGATTATTAGAAGTATATTTAGAAATATATATAAAAGTCGAAGAGTAAATATAGTTAAACTAAGAGGCTAAAATTTTATTCGTAGATTAAATAGTTAAATAGCGTTCGAAAAGATATAAATAGCTATTAAGCTCTATAACTTAATAATTA